AGCTTAAAAGCAGTGCTTCGGTAAACACGTAATCGCAGGCGCATCGTTTGTAAAACACTATTAACGCTTGAGAAAGAACGGAAAAGGAAACCTGACGGAGCCTATGAACTTAGTCGCAAATGCATACGAAATAATAAGTTAATATATGGATTATAACAATACAAATGACAATAAGCTAAATAATTACTTTTGGAACGTTTTCAAGACACAGATTATGTGATAATGCTCGATTTGTACGTAATCGAGCAGTCAAATCGGGACGTCCGCAGGCTGGTTTAAGTGGTAACATTCACTATTCTCAGGAACGAAGTAACAACAGTTTTAGGGAGATTCACACGACGGTACGTGACAAGTAATCAGTTCATTCACTCACACACGCACGCACGCACGCATCGCATCGTCACTCCTCGGAATCCTATGAATTCTTATACGCATTGTCCTATTCGACTAGAAAGTTTCATTAGTTATATAGTTCATCATCGTCTTCTTCAATTCGGTACTTTTCTTCCTTTGCCTCTCAGAGTTCTTTTTTGTCCAGTGCTTCCACAGATCTCGTACGGCGAGCCATATCCACTAAAACAACCATACGAATACTTTTGTCAGATTAATTGCGTCGTCAAATCTCGCTACAACGATCGCAAACCGAGTTATGACATAATGAAAATATTTTAAAAATTTTGACAATGTGTTAGTGAAGAAAAACTATAGAATGAAGGAAAAAGATATGAGAAATATCGCATTAAATGACAAAAGGAGGATGAAGAGATAGAATGAAAAGATAGAAAAAAAATATTTAATAAAAATCAATTTCTTTTTAGTTTTATTAATCTTTCTAAGAATTTACACTCCAAGTTTTATTCTTTTAATTTTACTAGAAAAAATCACAGATTTTTTAATAAAATTTAGATAATTAATAATTAAAATAATTATGTACTTATATATATGTGTGTATTTTTTATCTTAGAATTTAAGAAAAGGAAAGATCTGAATATATGAAGTATGTAGAAGAAGTGAGAATGTAAAATGAATGTTCAAAATTCCAATAACCCATCATGAAAGTATCCGGAAATTTTAGAGAAATTAAATACATATAGAGATTTGATCATCATACACAAAGAAATTTTATAATTGATTATATAAAAAAATTTTATAATTGATTTGGACAGTTCATAATTTCTTCGCCATTAAAAACAATCAACTCAAACAGCTGTGTTAGACTATACATGGACAAATCACAAACAGACATCAGGACTAAGTGGTAGCAAATGAGTGCTTAGTGAATTGTCGCAAACTCAGCAGATCGTTGGATAGTGCTGTATCAATTAATTGTAAAACGTACCATTGCAAGTTACTTCCGTGCCAAACTTACCCAGATGGGATATAGACCGTTTTAAAGTCGTTTTCTTTCCCGTCTGCAGCAATCAGCAACATGCGTACAGAAGGAAGCACCAAGTTATTTACAAATATTAACACTTCGATACTTTAACTGCTGATTAACTGCTGAGGTAACATAAGGGGCCGTTACGGCTAAGCGTATCGAGAGAAACAAAGGAGTTTATGCGATACTGCCGTTCTATTATTAATTTATCATTCCATTTTTCTCGTTTCTTCTCGTAATAAAGAAGAAAAATTGTAACGACACAGGAATAATGCAAAATTTAGAAAATTCAACAACACAATGAATGTAGTGGCAAAAAAGGGTATGGTAAAAAAGGAGTACAGAAAACTCTGTTTTGGAAAGAACATTTAAAATAAAATATTTTCCGAGACAGAGTTTTTGTTTATGCATATCCTGTTGGATATAAATAATAGAATTAAGGAAAGTGATTTTTTCGTGAGTAGAAAAAATCTTACCTCAAAGTACTGATGCCACAAGACACAGCCGTATACGCAGAGAACTGACACTAATGACTGACAGAGAAGCCACAAGAGAATGTTGAGAGCCTGAGTGCGTTCAAATAGAGCCGCACCATGACGTATACACAACAACGCTTCAGTCACCATGATTGCTCCATAGACCCAGCATTGAGTTCCTACTCGACTGCACGTCGGGTCAGTCACGTACATATAATATTGTCTGTAATTGAAACAGTGTACTTATTGAATGTGAATGGTGTTATATTGAATATACACATATACATACATGCATAGTATCCATCAATCAAATAATGTTCTTACCTAACTGATGGCGCGACTATGACGCCGATCAACACTAGTCTAGCCACGACAAATGGGTGCGACGGTGGAAACTCATAGACGTGTTTCAAGAAAAAGGTATTCAGCTCGGAGACCTGCCAGAATATTACTAACTGACACAACGCGACTAGTCGCATATGAGTGCAGGTCGGGTCTAACCACCTAACCGACGTCCAACTACCAGGAGTGAACTGCAGCATTGCCCTTTTCAACTTGCCAGTGGTGCTCTCGATATCACGGATGCTGACCCATCTGTATTCCGAAAAAAATGTAAAAACATCAGTGCTTATTAAATTTTTACGAAAAACGAGAGAAACTTCTTAGAATACTTCAAATATGTTGTTACACAAATCTTCCATATAGAGAAAGAGAAGACTACACATAAAAATACATAAGTTCAATTAACAAGATATATAAGTGCGAAATTATATGAAAATAATACTTCTACAAAGAAATTGAAAAGAATTTTAAACAGAAGAACAAATGTAAAATTTGGAGGAGTCTTTCCTCAAGTTTGTGAACTTGGCTTACCTATATTCTCTCATTTCCAAAATGGAGCAAATCTTCAAGCCGACCCAAATTCCCAGTCCATTACACACCAGAACGTCCAAAATAAGCGCGTCCCACCAACATTCAATAAAGTTGGGCAGCAAATGAGCGAAAGCAATCTCAGTTACTTCCCACATAACACTAATGGCCCACAAGATGCCAAGGTGACGGATAAGGATGGCTTTGAAGGCCCAACCGAGAAAGTGGGCAACCGCGAACACATCTAGATGATTCCAGATCTTCTCCAGCGTAACGTCTGAACAATTAACACCGTATTCCTTGTCCATGTCAATATGGAAGGACGCGAGACTGGGATCTACCCACACTAGGATCCTCTTGACTGTCTCGTAGTTTTGGAATAACATGAACAGTAGACCCATCAAGTACAGCACACTGCAACCGAACACTATTCGCCACACTACCGGATGAGGCCTAGTGAATGGACCGTTGGGAAATGTTAGGACGGATATGATGAGGAAGAAAAACATAATACACAGCATACCCGCCCACATATTTTCCTCCACATTGGTGGTATTTCTGAAATCAAAGATGTTCGAGAGAATGCAATTAGCATATAACAAGTGTAAATTATGATGGAAAAAATCTGATTGCATGTGACTCGAAGTCATAACATATATATATACATAAATTTTCTCATTCTAATTGAATTTTAAGTGATGATAAAGATTAATGAAATATAAATATAGATTCATAAATACATTTTAATTTTTTTATAATTTTAAACATTTTTATTTAAATGAATAAGCTCCTTAATGTGTGGTTTACAAGTATTTTCTGATATCATATTAAATTTTTTTATTATAATTAAAATTGAAATTTAGGAAGATGCCAAAGAAAGAAAGCTTCATATAAAATATAGCAGCATATTACATAACAAATATAGTATGCTGTGGAACAAAAGCATAATCACAAGTAGCTTATAATAGATAAGTCAAGGACGAGTCAACATCACAATCAATGTAATTCATAAGAGATCTTCATTCATAGAAATATATCTCCATGTTATATTATTCAATATTAGCAGCAACATTAAATTGTCTTTAGTTAATTCTTTTTCTCATGTAAAAACTAAAGTCACTTTCTATATGAATGTTGCATCATCTCATTTTAAGTGTGACATTATCAAGCAATTTTATATTATATAGTTATAAAACTAATCTGATGAAGATTAAATAATGAACCGTTATCTCTTTACCTCTTATTCAAGATATAAGTCCACAATCAAAATGAGTTATACGAATGATTACATCTGAAGAAAATGAACTTCAATCAAGAGCCAAAAAAGTAGACTCAAAGATCATCAGTGAATAAAATTGACTTTAGTGAATTATATAAAAGAAAACAAAAGATCCACAAAGAATCTTGTCCCATGGAAAAAGTAAAGACAAAAATAAAAAAAATAATCAGAGAAGTCAAGAGGAAAAAAATTAACTATTCGAACAGATCATATTATCCAGTCATGCTATATATATCCACGTTATATCAGGGAACATAGCAGAAATTACCTGGTAAAGGCCGAGTATATGACCGCACCAATAGAGATGAGTAGTAAGGTGATCGTGTGCGGTTTATAGAAGAACTCTATGGAGATGTCATCGACAGGTCTCTCGTTGATGCTGGAGAAGCTATCGGTTGCGGCGCGGAGCCTATGACCGTCGACATAATCAGCGGTGACGGCGTTTTTGCGATCCCCGCTGGGGGCCAGTCTCTCTAGGAGGCCAGCACTTGGCGATTCCTCGTCATTCATCATATTTGACTATACACGTGCCACTAATTGCGATTACGCTCTTCCTGGAACTCGCGCTTCGTCTCAGCCAAGTTTCCCTACCATCAACATTCGTGCTCTCACGCCGACTGTACACTCGCTCTCCGTGTATAACACTCCACCGTCACCCACCGTGATCGCGTTGCAATATACTACATTGCCTTCGCGCCACAAACTTCACACCGGTGTGCGAGCGCTTGACCATGAGTTAGGCGATAGAGATAGAAAGCAAAACGCGCGCTGGAGAGCGTCCCTGATGTTTTTGTCCCTAGAAATCAAGCTGTTCCATTGGACACCACATTTGGAGCTTCGAAAGTATCCGTCAGAGCTCGCCACCGGGACGATCGTCTTCGCATCGGATTATTGTGCGCTAATTCAAAGAATCAACTATTCCATGATGTAATTTTAGAAAGAAAAATTTCAAAAAATTTCACTTCAACGGACACACATACGATTATGGCTGAAACAAAGGAAGGAAAGTTCACACTTTAATGGTAAGTCCGTCTTTTGCAGCAAAGCACATGTAGATCCATTTCTATCTCGTAACTTGAAACAGACATACGGTCGTCCGAAATTTATGTTCTTTTTTATACGTAAAAAAACGCTTACAATCTTATCTCATGTTGCGAGTTAGAGAGCTTAGTTATTCGTGCAGCAAAGAATGTGATATGACCGACAATCGAGATATTGAACGATATTATACGTTCGAAATTGGTTGCAGAGATCTCTTAAATATTAAGAAAATATGAGAGAATAATCTCGTGATCGTAATTTTTTGCAGACTGCTCGTCACGGTTCGCCAGTCGGTAGGGAAGACGATAACATCGAATTATTGACGAAACCAGTCGCGGACGATTCGACCATATTTGGGACTGATTTTTGCGCGACTATACATCGTGGTGTGGTCGCCCATCGTCTGCGACGTCCCACACACTCGTGCAAAGGATGCAGTGACATGATTCATCCGGAATGAGTCTTTTTTTTCAAGCCGGTTCTAACGGTTTAGCGCTCAGTAAACCACTCGCCGAATACAATACATGGACTCATCGGGGATAAGCGACAAGACGATGGAGTTCTTTTGCTTCTCTTCTCAACATAACCAAAAAGATCATGGGGCGCTTCCACGTATGAATCTTCGTGGCCAATTCATGGGAAGGTTAGAGATTTAGGTAAATAACAATTAAAAATAGCAGTCAAGTCAAATTTGTTCAAAAAACGTTCTATTGAATCGAATTGAATTGATAACCTAGCAGTTCAATTCAAATCACTCATTTAATCTAACAATTCGAATGCAATAGATCGTATTGTCCTAAGAAATATTGTTTACAGCATAAACTGCTGTTCTTTTCCGAAAAAAACAGAGAAAGGCTCAAGATAATTGACTCCCATCAACTAATCGCAAAAAATACACCGTGACCGGAAGAACATTCGGGTGTACATAGCAGTTCTTGATTGGCTTTCATTATCCTCCTAAATTGTGGTCTGCGTCTTGAGCATTCGGTGAGTCATAAAACACATCTTATAGGGTGGTCGGGGGACTCGTTTTAAATTTCCGGCTGACATTCAATAGTGTTAACAGACCGATTGGCGTACAAAATGCGCCTACGCGTTGGACCTGTGAGAGACGAGGGGAAGCGGTCGGTTTCGTAAAGCTCTCGCGACGGTCCAGTGTTCGGTAAACGTTCGGCCGTTCAAAATGGGCCAATGAGCACGATGCTGCCGCGATGACGGGCCAATGGGCGAGCCGCGTCGTCGGGCGCTCGGGCGGTTCCGCGCGCGTTCGGCCGTCTCCGCCGGCCGGAGCGTCTCACAAAGACGCGGCGCGATATAAGCGGCGAGCGAGGCGGCCGGTCGTTCAGGATCTTGCTTGATCTCTCCGTGTCGTGTGTATCGTGTGTGCGAGCGAGTGAGCGTTCCTCGACGAAGTCTACCATCAAGTGATCTGCTGTCCCGTCGTCCGTTCGCGAGAGCAAGCAGCGTGCTTCTTTCTGAGCCGTGAAAGGAAAACAGGTATGGGTTTTTTTTACCCTTTCTTCGTCCCCCTCGCCACCGTACGCGACGCAAACAAAGAGATGCGTGCTCTCTTTGCGCCGTGATTTATCGCAGCGACGCTACGCATCGGCTCGTGATTTCGGACGGTGTTTTCCGGGAGAACGATCATCGAACTCGTCGATCGTTCTGTTTTTGTATGACGAAAGTTGTCGATATTTGCTATGACCATGACGACACGCGTTACTTGTCAATCATTTTTCCGCGACAGTGTATTCCGACGGGAGGTCATGGCGGAATGGTTTGTAAATAAAGGCGTTGAGCGTCTGTTGCGCTTGGTTTGTGATAACGTGATTTATCACTTGTTTATTTCGAGTTTCTCTGCTTAATTTGAGAAAATGCAAGCTTCAATTTCTACTTGCTATAAAATTTATTCGGGTATCGACATATTTCATTAATAACAATGAACACAAAGTGTAATATTAGACTACAGAAACCGTTCGTAATTTTTTAGAGCGTCGGAGCAACGATTATATTTAATTTATTAGCAGTAAATCGAGTTATAAAAATAATTTCGAAAAATTTAATGTTTAGACATTGAATAAAATGTAATTGATAACGCAAGATTGTTAGTTTTTCTCACACTGGACGCGACTTTTTAGAGAGGAAGAAGTGTCAATATTGTCATTGTCGAGCTTGTGGAAAGGTTTCTCAGCGAAGTTGACCCAAGCAAAGTAAACAATGATAGTCACTAGATGTCGCTATACAACTCATCTTGACTATATGCATCGAGGTCACAGCTTTGCTATGTTTTATCGATACAAGCTATTCAATATTTTCAGTCGAATAAAAGTAACAAGATGTCTTTTTTCGGAAAAACGATTATTATATTGCATATGATCAGTTGAAAATTAGTTTCTTAGGGCCAATTTTTCCAACCTCTTGGTAAGTTGACTAACACTTATACGTACGTCTTTATTTTTCCTTTAATTAAATTAGACAAAGACAAGCATAAGATTTAACTTAATTTAGTTTATCAAGAGATTGGAAAAATCGGCTCTTAGTGTTACGGACAAGAATTCAAATTTCACTTATCCTGTCAATCACTTGAAGTAAAATACAAAGGAATATCAATATTTTATAGTTATCTTGATGCGGTTATATACTAACGTCGAAGTGCAAAGATCTCTTGTCAACACAGTATTATTAGAATCGGTGTTGACGTGAGTATACAGCATGTGAGAACTTGTTTAAATATTGAAAATCTTTCTCTTCATCCAATTCTATGCATATGTGACCTAAAAAAATATATATTTTTTTTTATAAATTTGCGAAACACGCAGTTTGAGAACCGTTGCTCCAATGTAATGATATACGAGGACATTCGGTCAGGATAATAAAGTAAAATGCACGATGGATATTCTCTTTCATACCGGCGCATCGTAACTCCGGTAATAGAAGAATAATAAGAATTTCGCATATGTCACAGGTAATAACGCGTATTTGAAGGGCACTTTGATATCATGAGGTAAAGGATATGCACAAAGTTGCGGTGTGTGAGAGAATTAACGATCGAACGGCAGCCGCGAACCGAGCATAAGACAGCAGACTCATTCGACCGCTTTGTTATAGTAAATTTCCATTCTTCATATTATATGACCTCATGACCTCCTATCGAGAGTTGTGAGCCTCTCTTCTGTGCTCACCTTCGGACAATTTGCATTCGCCACGTTTGCTTCAATGCGGAACGTTTCTGTTGCAGAGATATCGCCATGGCCACAGCAATGAAGTCGTCCATCGACAAGGAATGTAAGTAATATTATCAAAAATATCTGAGTTATATATTTAAATACGATATGGATTATTGCGTTCGGCTCTATATCCGATGAATGACAAATAAATCCGATGAATGATAGTTTGACCGACTGCACGCGCAATCCAACTTCAGTTGCAACAAATTAAGAATTTAGATCTATTTTTAAAATTAATTCTGTTTTAATGGAACCAATTCCCGAAATAGGTTTCTGCAGAGTATCATTTATTGTTTCTTCGTTAAAAAAACAGTTGGAAGTTCATTTTAGATCGTAGTGTCTTAATTATCCAATATCATTCTGGATACAAACAGGATCAGTGTCTCTCTGTCCATTGCATTTTTCATACTTGGTGCTTTTTTCTTGTTTTTTCCTTTTTTAATCAAGTAGAACGCTGCTCTCGTTTAATCAGAAAGTGACAGGGCTGAATTAGTTAATTTAATACGAGAAATCGGAGCGAGTCTGGCCGCTCGGAACGAATCGCAATAAATTCGCAAATTGGGCCGTCATGTAGTCGCGGAACATCCTTCGTTCCCTAATCACCTCACGATTTTCGTGCAACGACGGGCGACGTGGAGGAGGAGAAGGAGATGAAGGAGGGTAAGAGGCCGCCGGCGACGCACTCGATATGGGACACGCGAGTTTCGCGTGTCCTTTCGTGAAAACGACGATACGTCGGCGGGGAAACAAAGGGACCCGCAGCAATTAGAGAGGAGACCGCGACGCCGCGGTGGGAACACACCCTAAACGTCGCAGACCGACCGGCGGACCGAACGACTGGCAGGCAGGCAGGCAGGCAGGCAGGCGGCGACGGGAACGGGAAGAGGTCAGAGCCCCCTGACTCGTCGTGTCCTCGCTTGCGAGCGAACGCGTTGCGGAGGAGTGCAGCAGCAACGGGCAGCCTGCATCGGCCGGGCGGGCCGCCATATACCGCGGTTGACGACGACTGCAGCAGAGCAGCAGCAACAGCAGCAACCCGCCGCCGACTCGACTGCGGCGCGGTGCAACGCCGGCGACCCGTCGCCTATGCAGCAGCGGCTCTCAACCTCCAAGAAGTCGTCCATCGTGCTCGAAATTGCGTGCCCTTTTGCGCAACTGATGACCTTTTGAACGAGAAGAAAAAGGAAATGAAAAAGACCCTTCGACGATAAAGTCGATAATTAACATTCAGGAGATAGAGGGGTTGACCGATTAGAGATGCCAGTCTCAGATAATGTAGCTAATAGCGCAGAGGGTGACCTTTCGCGGAAGTTTAACCCTTTTAGACGCGAACCCTCGTTCGTGCGACGCGATATTCGGTTTTTTTTTCGCTTTTTTGATGCAGCGAGATTGACTATTGAATCGGAGCAGCGGAGGGAGGAGATAGGTAGGCGGTAACGCTCGTGTGCACACGGGGAGGAAAATAAATCTTGAGTAATCCGCGAGACGAGTGTTTCATGTCGGCGTGATTTTGAAGCATCTCTGTATTTTCAAGGATTAGAGTATGCAGTAGTAGGAAATTAAAGTGAATTATTTTTTCAACGTCGTTAGATCTTTCAGCATAATTATTATCATTTTCATTGTCGGACGTAATTTCATGATAAAAGTACCCGCGATGTCTTGAAAAGTCCGTCTCGAAAAACGAGACTTTCGTTTTAGATCGGCCAGCAATTTTCCATTGTAATCGTGATATCATTTCGTGAGTCATGAAAGTTTATCTGGGAGAAATATGAAGAACATTATAAAAATTTGCCACTAACAAAAACGTTAGGAAAAATACGACTTTTCTTTTATCTGAATAAAATAAGATTACTTATCTAGATAGATAAGTCAGGATATATATATATATATATATATATATATATATATATATATATATTTATATTTATATTACACGATTACAGTCGAAGAAATCCGAAGGGATAACGCGTCAGTGAACTCGATTTTTCCTCCCAGTTTCTCTGCCGCTCGCTTTTTCTCGTTATCGCTGTCGTTCGGGTCCAATTAAACCGTAACGATCGAATCCAGCTCATTATGGGGTTTTCGCGAAGTCGAGATTTCTCGATCGTCAACGTGCGCTCACGACATCTTGCCTTTTTTGCGACCACACTCACCGTCGAATTTCTTTAGTAAGCAACAAAATAAGCCGCGAAAGTTGTCTCAGCAGTATAATACCATCTCTGCGTCTTTCTCTTTTATCTTGCAAAATTATCAAGATGAGAAAGATGTCAGGAGAATTCTAAAGAGAAACTTAAGGAAATGAAACGTTACATTATTTTTAGTCTTAAATCTTGAATATATATATTCGAGTTGAAACGTTTGGATAATCACATCTGAGATGAGAATTAAATTCAATCAGAATTAATGTTTCTATTTAAATGTATAAATTTTTGTTTTGCTTTATTACATTTGAGGAGTGTCGAGAAACTAATTATTTGCGACAATTTGAAACGCGATAAGAAACTACGTGCATTGCTCTGTGCGCTTCATGATACGTATTTGTACTCGCGTATTGTTCCGTTATCGGATTCCCTAAAATACTTGAGCCAATTTTGGTGAATAACCAATTTCGCGGTTGTTGAACCGAGGTCGTCGAACTTTAACGAACCTAGTGACTGTTTAAAAGCGGTTCGCTTTTTACGACGCGTCATCTCGATCGATAAGCTTCCAAGCGAATTTAAGACGCCCGTTAATAATTTGTTGGTTATTAAATTATCATCGTCGTCGAATTCTACGGAGCGATGAACAGTTTCGTGGCAAATATAATCAACGCCATAATAACCATGAGCACGGAAAATACTTCCTACTCGTCTCGCTAATGAATCCGTCCATTTTCTCGACTCCGGCGGTCGCTATGTGTCATGAAAATTTCATTTCTCATTGATTACTGCAGGGAATTGACTCGCCGGTATCTCCTCGCTGCGTCACAACGCGAATTCTGACAAACAGCGTCTTCGATCGTCCGTCTAACGGAAAACTTGGCACAAAGCGCGACCATTATTTGCCCCACATTTCCCGACCGCCGTTGTAATACTCGTGTCGAATCTACAGGTGCGTACAGAATCCTCGCAGCGTTCTATAGAAACGACGTTGGGGATTCGAATTTCATTTTCGCGTCTCGTTCGATAAAGCTCAAAGAAGAAAATTGAAAATTTCGGCTTTCCAAAACTCGAATTGGATATCAAATAATCAGCTAAAAATGAAGATCCTACACTCAGAGAAAAATACATAAAAAATAGTAAATATTTATTCGGTGAGTATATACTAATAACATGTTCACTTGACTCTACATTTCTTTTATTGAAATAGGATAAACAATTCCAGAAAAAGCTAAGATTTCCTTAAGATTTTAAGAAAATATTTATTTCCTTATTCGAAAAATATTTTATATTAGTGTAAGCAAAGTATATTATTAGTGCCTCCACAGAATAAATATTTGCTATTTCTTAGATATTTTTGTCTCAATATACATGGAGCAAAAAAGAAGCAGAATTTTTGATTCTCCTAAAATAGATTTAGTTCATATTTAAAAATCCCAAAATTTGTAAAAGCCTACAAATCTGAATTGCGTATAAGCGTATAAGCATCTCAAAATAAACAGCAGATCTTATCCCTTCGATGTTCGAAGAAACATTGAAGGATCCTTGAACGAAAGGACGAGTCGAGGTCCTGAATAGTCGAGAGATAAATCAATTCGAATTCGCCGCAGTGTTAGGCGAAGTTTCCCAAAGTGCGCGAACTTTACCAAGGACTTTACCAAGGACTTTCCCTGTCTCGTCGGTTGTTTCGAATAGATTCAAACGGCTGCTCCGTGAAAAGCTGTGGCTGCGAGTAGCCTGACAGGGAAGGCCGGAAGATTCTCAAAGGGTGCGCTTCCTCCTCAGGACGTAAAATAGTCTCAACACGAGATAGGACAATTTCAGAATCGACGGACCTCGAAGTCTGAGATCTAAACCTCGTCCAAGTTCCGCCTAATTTCCGACTTTGATCGTCCCTCCGTCTGTAACCTTCCACCCTGAGCGTCGTCCCTCCTCCCTCACGCGCCACTCACCACATCCGCTCTTCCACGTCTTCCACCACCCGTCCTTCTCTCGGGACACCCCGTAGAGGCCATAACACCCCTCCAAGGACTGGCGATCGCAGGTTGAAGTCGCTAGCTGGAAGGGTGGCTTGTCGTCGGGTAGGTGGACTGCTCTAGTCGGCGGGACGCGGGGGTGTCGGACGGCTGTAGGGGAGGAGGGTTGGTAGCAGCAGAGTGGTCGGATATTGAGCGACGCCGGGCGTCGCGGCGCAGCGTGCAGGCCAGTCGCCCACCAGCCACCGCCCCAGATACGACCCGAGCGACACTTCCGGCGTGCCTCACTCTTCTCCCGGTCACGTCCTCTTCTCGTCCTTCCAGCCTCTTCGTCCTCTCTTCTTCGTGCGTCCCTCAGTCGTGCGCGCCCGACTCGTCGTCGTCATCGCCGTCGTCGTCGATTCGCCCGCGAAACAATCCCGACACAACCCCTCGAACGAAAACGACAATATGCTGATCGGTCTCGTGCGCGACTCGGTGCTCCAGTGCTTCTGTCACAGCTGCAAGGCCCCGCTGGGCGTCGTAGGTGAGTCCCATATCTGGCTTCGTCCTCATCCTTGCGTTCCTTCTGCCCTTTCTTTACTGAGGTGTCTTTCTTCTGGTTCTCCGTCTCTGATCTCGCGAGGATCAGCCGTTGATTGAAATCAGGGTCTGATTGTTTGCACTTACGCATGTGTGGATCGTTTCTACGCCTGAAACGTACTCGAAGGACGTACAGCTTTTTTATTCCTACGAAAAACACGAGAAATTCAAAAATACTTTCGTTCACAGTCTTCAAAATTTCGTGTGTGTATTACGGGGAGTTGTGAATGAAATGTTAGAAATTGATTTTCGACATTTGTTGTACGCTGATTTGTTACGCTGGATTAGCAGGGTGGAGTTTCATAAGTATAATATATCTTTACCCTTCGCGGGCGTTGCCTTTATTAGAGTCCTTCGTTACGCATGTGTATATTGTTATACTATGTAACAATCTGCAATTATAATTTTGGGATACTCGTCGAGCATTCGTGGAGTTTTTATGTAAGACGCACTTTGAGTTATATTGCGTTTTTGGGGAATTTTCTTGACGATCTTTTTTAGAAGCTTTCTTCAAGTTGAACTTTATAGCGTATTTGATTTTTAGAGTAAATCCTCAGCGATATACTCCAATTTTGAACTCGATTTCGCAGATTCTTTCAAGCTCATATATATTTTCAAGAAATTGAAGAGATTTTTAGATATTTCGCCTTACTTATACCTTATTTGTTAAATCCTGTGATTTATTTCTTAAAATTATACGGTCAAAAAAAGATGTAGAACCGGAAGGAAATAACTAAGAGCGCCAGCTACCGAAAGCAATGTCGAGAAAATCTCTCGACATACGTATTATCCTATTTCGTCCTGCCTTATCCTTGGAGAAAGCAAAATGGGAGTGTCAGGTGCGATCGTTTCCTATCAACAGAAGATCTCCCGTCTCGATTGGAGATTTCTCAAATCGCCAACACGTACACACTCAAAATCACGACTTGCTTTAAACTTATATTTTACTACATATCTTATATTCTGTATATTGCGCTACTTGTTTATGTATCTTTCATTATTTATTTTACAATGGATTTTACTTATTTATTATTTATTTATTCTATTATTCTTCTTCTAACGATTTTTATCCACTTTATTAATCGTTCTATTTGCATGATTACTTATCACTTATCTATCTCGTTAACCACTTTGTCTCGAATCTCCCCATCTATTTATTTTATCGGTTTCCTACTCGTTGTAACGATACAATTGTCTTCTATAGCAATGTACAATTGACATAGAAATTTGAGAATCTCGCGAGATTTTCCTTACATTTACTTCTCGAAAAGGCGACTGCATTTTTTCATATTTTTCAAACGCGTGGAGCACTATCCTTACCGCAGTGCACGATGGTCGATACCACGGTGGTATCGCGACATTATCCTGGGCACCTGCAGTTCGATCAATTTCTCAGACCGTCCGCGAATCGATACTCACGGTCCACCATTTTTCTACAGGGTGTCGCGAAATTCCGCCGGTAAACTTGCAAATATTGCTCTTTATTGGCATGTCTAATTTTTAATGTTCAAATGAATAATTCAACGAGATGGATTATTTGTCGAGAGAGGGAGAAACGAGATTTTTGTGCGAATTTTTTAGCGAATATACAATCGATTTTAAAGAAGTGGCAGAATATCGAGCGCGTTTTTGCCGTATTTTCAACACTAAATTTAATTGACACAGTATTAGAAACATCAATATGGCGATATGCAGTTACTGAAAGAATCCATACTTATTTCACATAGAAGTCAATATTATATTTTCTTTTTATGACGTTATTCCTATTGATCGGTAGCCTAAATTATTTATCACATTTGATGGGCCGTCCAGATAACTTGTTTTATTATTAACGGGCATTATAATGTACTAATAATTTAATCAGCGATAAGTATCTCATCTCGTGATTTCACTGCAATTAATTTTTCTAGAGAATTTCGATAACGAGTTAAACCTTTGAAAAAAGCAGTTTTTTTTTTAAAACAACGGGACTTACTTTTACTGAAACGATGACTATTTATCATTTGACACTTCGTCGTCTCACAATCTCTAATATCGCGGGCTTCGCGACGCCGGTGTGCACGTGTTCGGCTTGCCGAAACGATCAGGGTGCGGTCCAACATGGCTACGCGAAACGGTCGCATCGATTTCCCGATAATTAACCCATTGGGACGCCAATCGATCTCTCCCACTGTCTTCCTCTCTCAAGCAGACAACAATTTGCTCGACCCCAACTTTGGGAGAAATTAAGAAAGTAAAAGAGAATAAATGTGACTCTCATTTATTCTCGAAGCTTATCACCATTCTGTTTTACAAAGATTGTTTTTCATTATAATGAAATTATTTAGCTCTGAATAGACGATAATTTCATTCTTGCAATTGCCGATGCTGCATTTTATTCGAGCAATCTATCGCGCTGCGTTGAAGAAAAAGCGAACCAATGGGTTAAAAATGGCAGGGCCAGCTTCTCCTCCCGCTTTCTCTCTGAATCCTCTTGGAAAACGCATTAGCTTTGACCGAGTTTGAATTTCCGAAGCCGGACCTAGGAGGAATAACGCGCCTTTCAAGAAGCCCAACGGCAAGGGCAAACCGCGGACCAAGCAGCCGAAGAAGGTGAAGTTCATTAGTGAGTACTCGAACAAGTCGATATGTTTTGCCGCTTTAGATGGCATCGAATGACGTCAAAAGGGACGAACTGAGACGTGCATGTTACTCGTTCGATCGAATCCAATCGGCTACCTTGGAATCCCTCTGGCGACAATAGGGTCTGTTTGATTAGGGTTCGAAGGGTCCCCCAAAGGACACGAAACTGCTGTTCGACGATTGGTTCTTGACAAACTTCGCGTCGATTCTCGCTGGGAAAACACTAAATTCAATAAGATTTTCGCTGAGAAAAAAGTCAATTCACATCGATTCACGTGATTCGCGCATTATCGTCTCGCAATGTGTGTAATTTTATTTGCACAATGAACATATACGAGTCGCCGCGTCTAAGGGTTAAGGGAGCAGTTTCGCTTTTGTCAAACGTCGGTGCAATGCCCTCGGGCGAGAACGGTCGCGCCAATGTGTCGCCGTTGAATTATACATCGAAAGCGGGGAACATTGGAAACTCGCGCTCTACTATATCACGTGAAGATGTACGCACATGCAAACATACTGCACACCCATACATACGTGCAGCGCTATCGACAACTTCTCATAGCGCAGTATTCTGACACAATGTCTTGTTCTGTCGAGTAAAAAAACGAACAGGGAGAAGGGAAATATTAACGATTAAAGAACGACGGAGTCTTTTAACATGCGAATCTAAAGAATACACACGCGCTCTCGTTTCTTTATTTTTACTAATCATTCGTATTAATCGCTGCTAACTCAACTGAGCGTTCAACAAGTCTTCTAATCGACGATTGATTGATCTCGTCGACCTGCGACGAGTTAGGAGAAAAAAGGACAAAATTGCGATTCGTGAAGTCATGATTTGCACCTCGGAATTAAATAATCACTGGAGTTTCCGAAAAAAGATTGCCATGGCAAAGTTGCAGAATGATACGGCATGGTGTACGGTAATTACGGTACGGTTGGCAACGGCCGGCTGTACACGGCGCGGTTGCGAGGAGAAAGAGAAAGGTGGAGGTGGTGGAGAGGTGCGTGCGACGACGCTAGACGTCGCGGCGCCTACGGCCGATCGTTCTCCGATCGATCCCTCCTTCCCGCGCCGTGCCGCTCCGTTCTGAGTCATACTTCCGTAACTTGCCGGCGCCGGAAGTCTTGGAAGCGCGAATTGTACCTGGGACCGCTTGTATATCGAGACAAGACGTCGATATTCTGTATCAAAATAGATCAAAATGAATACGATCTAGCTAGCGCCGTGATATCTCGACGATGTACCGTGATTCCGTACCATGAAGAACATTAGATTGTTAGAAGCATTAATATTAATGCTGTTGAAAGACTCAGTATATGATGCAATTGTGACGTGATATCAGCAGTTGTAATAATTGACTGTCGAGACAACTTATAGACGGCTTATTGAAACAATATATCGGGACCATGCTAAGTTATTGAGATTGCAATATTTTAGATATGTCGATATCACAATGTATTTCTATACCTTGATATTACATATTATATGAACATTATATTATTATAAGATGATGTGTAATAGAATAAGATAATATGTAATATTAAAATATCATATATTATTATCATACAATGTGATAGATCATATATGGGGCCCAACGGTCATTACATGACACTAATGGAAATTGCAGCAACCGAGATTAGATGCCAGGAGAAATCCAAGGGTGGATTATGCTACGAGGTGATCTTGGCGGAGCCAACGGTGCCTAAGAGGGCGCCGTCGCCGCCGCAGACGACCCCGACCCAGCAGACCGCGATCGAGGACAAGCTGAGAGCCGCCGAGGAGCGGAGGCTGTCGTTGGAAGCGCATAAGCTTGCCGCCCTCGCCTCCAAGCTCAGCAAGATCGAGGAGGCTTCCCGCAAGAAGGATGAGCTGAGCGCGGCCTTCATCGCCGCCACTCGCGAGTCTCTGGACGCGAAGATGAATAACACGGAAGAGAAGCGAGAGGCGCACATTGCCGAGCTGAAGAACAAGCTGAAGGAGCATGTGAGTAGAGAAATATAATTAGTGAGGAGCGTTTCCTCGTATTCTTCTTGTGCGAGAAGTTATAGTCGTGGCAATTTAAATTAAGAGATACGGTGCATCTTAGTGCACGTTATGATCTTTTTACGACGAAATAGAAACTTTTCTCTTATTTGTATTGAAATATTCAAATCGTGATAACCCTTGTAACACTAATATTTGATTTAATTTTTTTGCAGTTGGAGAGTGTCGAAAAGACTCGCTTGAGTCTGGAGCAGCAAACCGAGGAAGTCCGATGCGCCGTCGAGGAGAAGCTGAAAACTGCCGCTGCCCAACGTGACGAGAACATCAAGAGGATGCTGGATCGTCTCAAGGAGCATGTTAGTATCTTCTTATATCACTTATAGAAACTGAACGTTCCTTTATTTTTCAGTTAAGAGTAAGTCTTAGAATTTAGAACATTCATAAATCTTAAGGTTTCTACTGAAAATTAAAAAATGTACATTGGCCCTTCCTCTCTTATAGTACAATTCTTTTATATGTAATCAATGAACTCATTGTGCTTGCAAGGATGTGAAAAGATAGTAAAACACTTTCAAATTAAATTGCCATCTCTCGACTGTTGAATTTTCTATTAAAACGCTTTTACTTTCATCTCTCTTTATTTCTTTTTTCCCAGCTTTAGCAAGCTGCTATCTTGTTTTGCATATTTTAATAGGTAAACTGTATAGACGAATAATAAGTCCAGCAAGAATAGATATAACTATATCGATTCATGGCCTGCTTTCAGGAGGAGCAAGTCGCTCGTGTACGCCAGGGAATGTCGGAGCGTGTGCAGCAATTGGAGTCCCAAATTCAAGGCAAGCTGGAACAAGCACGCGAACGTCGCGAGACCATCGAGCGCGAGCAGAAGGAGAAGCTGCGCAATCATGTAAGTTTCTGATCTTAACTTACAGTTTTTTCCTTTCGTTTATCTTTCTAATTCTCTCTAAGACAGTTCAAAGATTCAAAATGTTAAAGTTCCGAGTTTGAATTTGAAAATTGCTAAAATTGAAAATAAAACGAGGAAAAGGCACTGATTGAATGTGCGTATTTGCGCGATGGTGGTTTAGAACACGGTCAAGATAGAGAAAATACGTGAGACGGCGGCGAGAGAGATCCTGGTGAAAAAGTTCGAGTTCGACAAGAGGGTGTCGACTGCGGAGCTGAATCGGCAGCGAGAGATCCAACGTCGCGTGCAGGCAATTCGCCACCACCATGTAATTCCTTCCCCTCACAGACTCTTAAGCAATCGCGCCGCCCGCAGACGTGGAAATTTGTCGTAGAATAAATTCATCTCCGCACGAATCAATGTCCGTGACAAAAAAAAAAAATGAAATGCAGAGACATTTATCTCAGAATAATTTTTGCCTCATTTATTAACGCATCAATCGATGTAGTCAGTTCAGCGAAATAACAACGTAAAAAGAGATTATATTTTATGAGTCATTTTGTATAATTATCATAATGTTTTGTATAATTATCATTTATTTTGGATAGTTTGGCACGACAAATTGTAACGTTAGCGGGCGATTGTATCAATTATGTATTAATTATTTTCTCTGTCTTGTTCCCCTCGTCCCTCCTTTTCGTTCCCTCACCGTTCTTTTGTAGGACCACGCAGACGAAGATGGTTACGTTTGTAATAGGAATGCTGTGCTTTTCCCAGATTATGTTGCAGCCTTCGGTTTATAGTTATCTTCTAGCATGGCCGTGCTCACTTATGGCTCAGAAATCGTTTATACAGGGTGTGTCGCAGAAGGAGAATACTGACGGCGAAGTTTTGCTGATCGCGTGGAAAATCGCTTGCAAAATTTAAGCTTCGTGCCTCGCAATAAAATTGACGGGACAATCGATGTGATAAAGAAATCGTTTTGAATATATTTTTGCGGACCTAGAAATTTAAGGATACGAGGATCAAAGGTATCCTAAGAAACATGGTAACGCTTTTTTTTTCTTTTTTTTTACGTACGTTCTAAATCATTCCTTTTTTCACAAAACACTTTTTCTCCAGCGTAATTGCACGCCGCAAGGGAACTTCTACGACGCACTCTGTGCGGTCTAGCCACCCGTTACGTCCAGCCGGGCAACACGTTACATCAGCTTGCAGTTAGAGAGCATGGCGTACTTTTGACATGCACATTGACACCGCTCTAATGTCGGATTTTTCTTTTCTCTGTTCCCAACAGGAGAGGCGCGCCGAGATCGTAAGACAGAACAAGGCCGCTCTGGATCGTCAGGATGGAATTCTGGCGGACGCGCTGCAGCCGGCTGTCCTGCCGGTGGAGAACGAGACTGCCAGCTCCGGCTAAATATCGCATCCATGTCAAGGCCGCTTCGAGCGCGCCCCGCAAGGCTCCGTTTCGCTTTGTGCCATTATTTTCTGACTCGAAGTAAAACGGGAGGTCGATCGCGCACCGCATCCTGTCCGCATTTCGAGCAGGCAGAGAGAAGAGAGAGACCGCGCCGTGTCTCCCTTCCGGTTCCTCGAGATAGCGCGGACAATACTGCCTTTCGTCACGATATTCCCACTTCGGCAACGTTACGCATTAGTCCGCACGGTTCTTTGAAATTAGCGGGAGAGAGCGAGCGTGGTGATTCGGACAAATTGTTGCGAAAGATTGGCTGCGAGAGGGTTCTGACAGGTATGTCGATTCTTTTTGGAATTCTAGAGTTTGGTTTATAGGGTTCGAGAATTCCGAGATATAAATGAAATTCGAAAATTTACTCGCAGTTACAATGACATCAAGATTGAGATACTTGAACATTTATAGATTCGGAGCTTTTAGAACCTAAAGAAAAACTTTATTCCCTTTATTATTATCTAAAAGTTTAAGATTGGGTAAAAGATCTATGTACTTCGAAATCAAAATATTCAAATATGTAGAAATGTAAAATTTCTGAAAAGAAAGAGAAAGGAAGAGTATCAGAATTTTTCACTTCTTCTCGAATAATGCAATAACATTGCAAGCCGTATAAAATCCAAAGAACTTCTATAAAATAATTTAAAGAATTTTCCCAAAAAGACAATTATTTTTCACACAAAGATTAAGTTCAAAAAAGCTGAAGTGAGATTTAAAGTATTTTTGAAAGGTTCAAAGCAAATATGATTAAATTGAATATGGTATCCGAAATATCTGGCATATCGCCTATTAATATCAAGAGATATATTACATTTCTGTTCTCCGTTTCCTATTTTTTTTTTTTTGAAAGTTTAAGAAATGTTTCTTTTTCTCAAACAAAATTTCTAAAAATTTTTGAGTTTTTTAATATAAAAGAGAAAAAAGAATTTAACGCGAAACCTTAAAGATACTTTAATGTATTAAAAATACAAAGTAACGTTCTCAATTTTTTTTGAATAATTATGTAATTTTTATTTTCGTTAAATTATATTTTTTCTTTCTCCCTGTTCTATTTTCGCGTTATCGCTATCTCAATCTTGTTGTCGAATGAGTACGAAAAGAAATCTCGATGACAGCTACGATCGATTAACCGTAATTACCGAGTAGTCTTTTTGGATCGCAACACACAGCGCATCGTTTCTCGAGGGTGAAAGAGATGAAGGGTTTTGGAGGGAGGGGGAGAAGGAGATATGGAAATTGGAGATAGAGAGAGATTAACGGATTACTAATAAATCACTATCGCTACAACTAGATTCTAAGTGGTGCGACTGCGGCTCTGTGTGCGCGCACGCACACGCACGGGGAGGTGTGTGTGTGCGATGTGTGCCGACGTGTTAAGCACATTTATGATTATATATATAAATATAATATACATATAATTATAATGATATATTATTAATAATAATAATATTAATAATAATGAATAGTGCTTTATACTAGGCTTGAAAACTTGAGAAACCATTTTGTACTCATTGTAATATTACTGCGCTAACCGAAATGAGAAACATTCACACGAGACATGTAGTCTAACGGAATATGATAATGTGACGCTTCTGTGATGACTTTAATTATTTGTCAAAATGTGTAGCGTTTAAGTGCGGGCGAGAGCGAGCGACAGAGCGAATGGGACTGAGTGCGTGTGAGTATGTGTGAAAAATACAGAAAAAGAAAAAAGAGAAAAAGATACTTTTGTTTCTTCAAGTTAGCACGGTTGTCGTGACCAGGCAAAAGTTTGCTCGTGTCAAGAAATTTATATATATATACGGTATAATTTTGTTAGAATCAATTTTTCGGTGCGCGGAGATGAACTTTACACCAATTGTTACGTCAATCAAACGCAAACAAACGCCATCATTATTCTGCGTGTCTGCCGCATCGAAATCAGAAAGTTGAAATTTAAAAGCCCATTGAAATTGCACCGGCTTTGATTGATACTTTACAAGCTACATACTTTACATACTTTGCGCGCGCGCAAAAAGAAAGAAAGCGAACAAGCTCAAAGCTTAAAAGAAGAGGAATATTACGATATTTTTTTATGTTTATAGACGAGCTCTCTCTCTTTAAAAGTAATCTGGCTTAATTAACTAATAGATAATCTTTGAACGCATTTTGATATCGATAATAATATAAATCAGTTTATCCTATAGACGATTGCTTTCTCTACTTGTATGTTCAAGAAACTAAAGATAAAGAGGAGCCAAAGATGTAAAAATCTTAAAGGGCTTGCGCAGAAACATTTGGCTCGCAAAGATTAGAGAGATACGTGGTATGAGAATGCAAATCTAAACTTTTTCAAAGATCCAATATAAACTTTGCGAATTTAAAAAAAAAGTCAAAGAATAAAGCTTAGTGAGAACTTAAGCCTTGGTCACAGTACCGCTGCAACCCAAAGGGTTAGAGAAACATGACAGACCGTAACTGTACCCATATTCATCAGCTTGCGTCTCATAATTCGGATCAGTAGTTCCCAAGTTTGAGCGATTTTTTTATACGATTAATTTGATTTGCGCAATATTAATTGTAGCTTAATCGGAAATGAAAAGAGCCCTTATCATACATCACTTGATTATTTAAAAAATGTTCTAAATTCTTATAAATTTTACGATTTTCAGAATCTAAGACTCAAAAAGTTTTAGACCTAAGATTCTGAAAAGGATTTTATTCATTGTAGAATTCTTGATAATTAACTATATTATTTTTCTGTATTATATTCATCATGTTACACAGTTTTATTAATTCTTATACTTCAGGTACAAATCATAATTTATTTTATAATTTATGCTATTTTTTTTTGTAAGCATAAACAGATCTTCGTTATTTCGTATCTTGATTCTTGGGAATCTGGTCGTTTTTGCATTGACAGCGCGCATTTAGTTCTAATTTTACCTGGAGTATAAAATTTAATTTTATAATTTCCTAAATTTCTAGCGTAAAAAATTACAAAATATTCCGTAAGAATTCAAAATTTTGAAATTTAGTGTCCTAGAAAAATTCTCAATTTACTTAAATTTCTAGCTACACATCCTATAGCATTTTTCTTGTTTCTAAAACCAAACAGAGATCTTTCGAAATTCGATTCTTTCAGTAAGTTCAGTAATATTAATATAATAAATGTAATATAATTAACATATTCGTCCTCTGCGTAATAACACTTCACTGCAATAACGCTTTGATATAATTTACATGTGATTTACGAGAGGGCTAAATGCGCGTTTCCGACACAACATAAGAAATTCTCACAAAACGCCTAATTGCACCGAATACTAATTAAGCGTGGAAGTTAATGAGCGTAAGTGCGGAAAAGATGAAGGGAAGAATGGGCGACGAGAAATTTCCAGAGAATTTTCGGACAGAGCGAAGAGAAATTTGTCTTGCCGTGTCGCGACGAGTGATGGGTAACGTCTATTTTTGCATCATTGTTGTGATCCTTTGGAAATTGTATCATCGTGTAATGATTATAGGCGTTCCGCGACGTATGTATGTTATTATCCTCGACTTGCGTTGCGATATATACAGGGTGACTTGTAGAAAGCACGCAAGAGTACTAAATATTCATTCCTGATTAAAACACAATGTCGTATTAGAAACGGAACTTCGTATTCTTTCTTTGGGGCACTCTGTATAAATGTGTATAGATTTCTGCGTGATAATGCATAGTTATATATGATGAATTGAAAATCATTATTCTTTCAAGAATAAACTTAAATGAGAGAAGTTTCAATGAATTCAAGAGAAAATAAAAAGGGAACAAATTCAAAAAAGAAACTATTCGAGAAATCGTAGTTACTTTATATTAATTCTCTTTAAAATTTTATTACAGATGTAAACATTATATGTTAAACATAATTTATTATTAATTTATTTTTAAATTATTTTTCTGAATTATTTTCTTAATATATAAATCGTAAATTATTACATATGATAATATTATATTAGAATATATTATATTATGTTTACGATATGAAAGTAGACGTAATATAATTACTATATTTTTCCCAGTATATAAATATTGTCATGTTTTAGAAATATTGAATTATTATAATCACATGATTTTCAATTCATCTGATGTAACGCATGTGTCCTCACGGGCTTTGGTATTGTCTCTCATGGTGAAGAACGTGCGAGAAAGAGATAACTAAACGAAATATATATATAAATATATATGCGAGAGCGGAAGAAGAGGATTATTGTATCGCGATATTACTAATCGCGTCTTGCATTGGCTGCCTTCGATATATTTCTTTCAGTTTCTGTTCGAGGTAATGTGTGTCAAATGAGAACTCGATTGTGTGTGAAGTAAAAGGCCATACCTACACGCACCAGGAACGTCTTTGTTATTCCGTTATCGCCTCTAAAGTCATTCCCCTCCTCTCCTACACTCCTCCTCGGAGTTATCGGTTTATCATTCGCTGTGGATTAACAATCATAGCTGTCATAAGAGAAATGTGTCATAATTACTTATTGCATAACTAATAATTCTAAAATCACGATGAAAAATTCTTCGATATTTCCTATTTACAATACTTTGTGTATACCGCGTATCAAAAAGAAAAAGAAATCAAAATTCTACATTTGTCTTTTTGCAGAACTCTTAACAAAGTTATGATCAGGAAGAAATATTGATGTGCCATCGCAGCATCGTTTATTCTCGATCGTGCAGCGCAAACAAAACAATTGCCGCGGGCACGTTGCCTCGATGAGACGGCCCTGACCGGTGGCGCGCGCACAAGAGACAAGTAGTGGGCCACGTGACGTCAGCGCGCGCAACAGTGGCATGGCCGCGAGCCAAAGGCCGAGCGAGCGAGTGAGACGATCCGAGCCGAGGCGCCGTAGCGCGACCGCAAGCTCTACCAGTCGAGCAGCGGAGGGCAAATATGGCTGCCGCGCGGCCCGATAATAATGCGTAGCGAGCGCGTCGTCGCCGGGAACGAACGCGTGCCAGTGCGTGTACGATGTTACTGAAGGGTCGCAGCACGACGTCCAAGAAGTACCGCAGACATCATGGAAAAAGCGGCGCCAGATCCGCGGCCGGTAAGTGCAATCTCGCAATCGCCACGCAGGAAATCGCGAGATCGCCGCGCGCGTTCTCCTCGCCGCTCCCCTCTACCGTCGCACTGTGCATCGTTTTGCGTCCCGTCCCGCTCGTCCGCCGCGATCACACTCATTACGATATCGATCAGGATATGAGCACATACCAGCTGGAACGATGCACAACAACGGCCACGTGATAAATCAGGGATCTGCTGGCGGACGCAAGCGCGAGATTCAAATCTCGTGGAGTGCGTGTCGTGTATATACACGGTGTCCGCGCCGAGATACGCTCTGTCGAAAATATGGCAGTCGCAGCATTTTCTCTAGGTAGATTTTTCGTCCTGTGACTTTGACGACAGTGTCGTTGTTGTCGTTACGTTGTCGTCCCTCGAGTATAATATGTAAATAGATAAGCCACGCAACGACATTGTCGTTAACAGTTTCAGAATAGGCTTCCTACAGTTTCCTCTAGATTGTTTTCATTTCGAATCGTTCGCCAACACGAGATGCATGCGATGACACGGCGACCGACAGAAGGGAGACCGTCGTGCCGAATGTCCGCCTTCAGCGCGAGTTTTGGACACCGACCGCGAATTCCGCGTGTTGTCGCGCGATTTCGCGAAATCAAGTACGGCATTCTTGCCAATTCATAGATATATGACGTGACATGGCGGCGATCGGTCTCCTCGGATTCAATCTTTCGCGGTCGGGTGGTGATCAGCGACGGCGGCGACGGCGGCGGTGCGCGCGCGCGCGCGAGAGACGATGTCGTCTCGGCAAGTATCGGCTCGCGACGTAGTCGGGTTTGTTTATGGAACATGATTAAGGGAAACGCGACGGCGGAGGCAGTCCAGGTGCGACGACGCGTCGCGTGCACTCACGCCAAGTGGCGTGAGTCCAAATCCGTCTGGGAATCCTGTGAGCATCGATACCTGGACGTGACTACCACAATGTACTGACATATCTATCCGACGAAGCTGAGTGAAAGCTTGCCAATGAAAATTCCAGAGAAAACTTCAATGCACGATCGATGCGAGAGAAAAACATTCTGAGATTACATAATTCTGCCTCTCGACCTTGTTTCTTCTTCTCGAGCAATTTGATGGAATTTCGTCCCAAGTGATAAAAAAAAGACTCTAAGATGTCCTTACTCAATTAAAAATAAACCTGGACTGCCAACGCGACTCTAATGAATCGAAATGCATGAATTATTAATTTAAACTAATTAGAGGTATCAACACACAATATTCGTCCAAAGTATTAATGCAGATTATGTTTATCAGACAAAAACTTCGTTTCATAGAAAAAGAAGTTATCCAATTTTGAAGAATTATCTTTAATCTTTACGAATAAAACAAACAACACTGACTCGATATTTTTTTAGACATCTAACGGGTACTTTCTATTTTCCTTTTAACGCTTTGAAAACGAAAATTTAATAGAAAAATGACAAATCTTTGGTACTAACACTATTAGGAAAATTTTATAATTTAGTTGTCTTTTTTTACATAACCAAGTAGTAAAAATTAATAACCAAATCGATATTGTATTTATTAATGCATGATCATAAAAAGACATACTGAATCTACTTTTAATCATGGCGTAATAATAAATTATAAACAATATAATGAAACAATCTATTTCTGGAACAATTTTATATACATTTTGTTTCCGTGCAATTTTTCTCAAACTTTGGTCACTCACTGAGTTAGTGTTCTTAGTTGACGCGACTTAATTCAAAGTTCAAATAGGAACTGGTGATGCTAACAAGCTCTGTTTATATCTTACAGTTCACGAACTATTAATTTTATTTAAATCTTATATTAACTAGCAATATGAAAAATCGCACTTGAATAAAAAGAATTCACATCGATTGACCCTAAACTGGATATTTTTCGAGTGTGTCGTGAAGATGACTTGGAGATTTCATTTAAAAAAGTTTGATTAGCCAAAAGCGAGATATTATAAATTGCACTTAAAATTTTTACTTGCATTCCTTACAGCGTAACGCATTTGTGAAAATTTCATGCAATTTGTTTGGCAGAATTTTCAAGTTGGAAAAAAATTTTTTTTATTTGAAATTTATAAAAAATTCCGCTTCATACATATTTTAGAAATCATAGAATCATAAAAATAATTTTCTTGAAATAGAGGGGTAACTCGGGAAAATTTACTCGTAACAAAAGTGAATTTCTTCAGCTCGAAAAATGGACGGCTCGCCTCGTTATTGTACAGCTGTGCGCGTTTGAGGAAAAACAGCTGTCAATTATATACTTGACGTTTAATTTCACAAAAGCCCCTCCATTAGTTTCTCCGTCAGGCGTCCTTTCAATTGGAAAGGTATCGTTTCCGTCTGCGCGGTATGTCGTTACGTAATACACGAATCCAGAAGGATCTGCAGAAACTATGTCGTTATATAATATGTTCGTGATTAATTAGGGAGCAAGTAAGACGCGCTCGCGAGGTGTACAAAGCGTGACGCGTACCGCGATAAAACGCACGGATTTTTTTTCTCGCACCCTCCTGGTAACAGCGCACCTTCCGCGCGGTGACGAGACGGTGCGATCGGCGGTTTGTTAACGAGAGCTCGTTAAAAATATCTTCGGAGTCATTTCGGTAAAGCATGAGATGCGCGAGTGTCATTCGAGGAAGATGCGTCGCACGGTAAAAATGAACTCCTAACGTGCCGTGATAAGAATAGAGCGCGATAGCAGAAACGAAAGGACGAGCGATGTGATAAGGAACATAGGGGAGAGATACGTAGAAAGGCACGAAAATGAATCGCAGATCGTTATGATATAGGATAGCTTATCTTTCAGCATCACGCTTTAATTTTAACCGCATTATAGCGCGCTAACAACCGCGACTTCGGCTCTCGTTAAACCGTTTTGTTACTCGATGATTTTTTACTGCTATTATAATTAATCATCTATATATATATCATATGGATTGAAAATATCATCATTTACCGTGCAACTTATTTATGTTTTTACTATATAGGGTGTCTCACACTCTCCTCCGGGCATTTTGTGGGGACGTAGGACAGGTTGAGGTGAACATAAAAGTCCTATACCGTTTTGCGATATTCGCAATAATTATCAAGATATTAATTGTAGAAAACTTGTAAATGATCATGCAGAATATGGTAAATGAATTATAGTAGCGACGATTGGCATCGTGTACTTATATTTTAGGTCAAATTGAACAAAAAAGTCCTCTACCATTTTCCAAATAATCACATAGATTTATAATTATTAATTAAAGAAGATTATTGCACGATTTTGCGTGATAATGCACTCATCTTCTTTAATTAATAATTAAAAATCTATGTGATTATTTGCAAAATGGTAGAGGACATTTTTGTTCAATTTGACCTAAAGTATAAGTACTCGTCGCTATTATAACTCATTTACCATATCCTGCATGATCATTCACAAATTTTCTACAATTAATATCTCGATAATCGCAAAACGGTATAGGACTTTTATATTCACCTCAACCTGTTCTACGTCCTCACAAAATATCCGGAGGAGAGTGTGAGACACCCTGTATATATCTCTGCAACAGATACGCCATATACAGGGTATCCGGTAACTAATCGAGCAGCCGCCGTGTACGCGTAGAAATAATCATAAAAGTTATATACCATTTTGAAATTCTCTCAATATTTATTCCGTAATTAATTAAAATCTATAAACGAATGAGCTTACGAGAAGCGATAGGACAGACTCTGTGTGTAAAAGAAATGGCTTATCTCTTAGTAACGATGAGTAAACAACTGATTTCGAGGCGGAGTAACAAGCGACACGTATACGTTACTCCGCCTCGAAATCAGCTGTTTACTCATCGTTGCTAAGAGGTAAGCCATTTCTTTTACACACCTGTCCTACAGATTTACAGACCTTGACCTACCGCTTTTCGTGAGCTTATTCGTTTTAATTAATTACATTAATTAAGTACATTTTAATTAATTACGGAATAAATATTGAGAAAATTTCAAAATGGTATATAACTTTTACGATTATTTTGACCCGTTGTACCCGTACACGGCGGTTGCTCGATCAGTTACCGGACACCCCGTATTTACTGGATCTATATAGATATATAAAAAACAGTAGATATAAACATACGTATATATGTACTCTCTTCCTCCCTTTCTCTCTTTATTTTAATATATATGTATTTCTTTTACTTTACTATCGCGTATAAAGTTCCATCACATTGCTTGCATCGCAAGGACAAAGTGTTGCAAAGTTGCACTTGTCAACTTTTCAACTCTCCCAAATAGGCAAATTGCATGAAATTTTCACAAGTACGTTGCGCTGTAAGAAATGTAAGTGAAAATTTATTTATTTCGTTTCGATCATTTACAATTTGTAATATCTCACTTTTGACCAATCAAACTTCTTTAAATAAAAGTCCTTCAAGTCATCTTCAGATGACACACTCGAGAGATATTCTGTTTAGGCTCGGTCAACGTGAATTCTTTTTAATCATGTGCGATTTTTCATGAATTGATTGTTGGATCGCGTGGAACAGGATTCAAACTATATTTTAAAGCGAATCTCACATGAGGCTTTAGACGTCTCCACATCAGGCAGCTATACAATTTTAAATTGGACTTGTACGCGATTTAATTTAAAAAACGCGTAGTAAATATATATATATATATATATATATATATATATATATATATATATATATATATACACATACACATGTAACGCGACGGCATGTGAGAACTCGCGGCGCCAGCGTGGCCACGTGGTGCTCGCCGCGACCACGTGACTAGTGATATTTTTTTCTCGGACACAGACGAGCGGGCACGACGTGTCCGATAATTGTGTGTTCTCCGTCTTGTCGAACTAGCTACTGCCACGCGTCTTATTATCGACGGATATTTGAGTGCCCGAATTGAGTACTCACGTTATTTCGAGGTGAACCCCTCCAGGATCGTCGGTGTCATTCGCGAATATAAATGCGAGCGAAAAGCACTTAGATGCGCGCGATTGTAAATCGCGTCTGGTTGTCTGTCTTAAGCTCGGTATTAACATTAACAGAATTATGATCAGGGCGCGACTTTCAACTTCTCTCTCATTCTCATCGTAAATCACGCTCGAACGTTCAACGAGGTGTTCGGACGCTTTCCGCTCATGCATAGAACGCATTGGGATTGCGATTCATCGTTTGCCACTCGCAAACCGTTAACTCTGCATTGTTCCAAAATTATCATAACTGAATTAATAAGAGATCAAAGTCACATACTTCAAATGCCAAGTCGGGCAACGGGAAGTGCGATTCTTCAAAAATACCGTCTCACTTGACGAGGCTCTCGAAAGTTCTCGCTAAGTAAAGTACCAGGAAGTTCCCGGGGATCCTGAAGAGGCCGTTGTACTTGATGCACGTGAAAGGGCTGGTAATCGAACAGCGCGGAAATCTCTTTGTGGAACAAGTGTCGTCAAAGACCGACGTGTTAAAGGCCTCCAAGGTCTTTGTAATGTAGACTCAATCATCGCCAATCTACAGAGCGGGTCTTAGCAATTTGCCTCCTCTCGGCCGATCTCAAGCGGCATCTGCGACCCGAAAGGAAGCTGAAGGAGCGTACGCGCTCGATCTAGTCGTTGCACAGATGTTTTACGCGCTCTTTCTCTTCCGAAGGTATCGATACTTCGCGAGTAACTTGCCTAGAACCGTCGACGGTTTCCTGGTACCTTTACCCAACATTGCTATCAGTTTTCGAAAACTATCTCTCGATAGGATTCTGTAAAGAGCTATCGATACTTGATGATGTCAGGTCTAATGTGTTCTTTCTTCGGAAGAATCGACATTTTTATCAGCGCAATAAGAGCATCTAGTAAGTAAAGAAGCCACAGCAATAACAAGTCGCATGAAAGGATATGATGAAAACGTCAACTCTTTACTAGAAAAATAATGTTACACTGCGTTCTATTGACATGTAACTGTCATAACAATAACTATTTTTGTACATAAAGGCATTGCGAGAGATATCTTCTGTCCTGTGGGACAAGATCAATCAGCGTCGCGGCTGGTGGGGAGAATACGTATAGGGTAATTATCCGAAGATTGGAGCCGATCCACCGGTTGCTCGCGTTCCTCTGGCCCGTCATCGTCATGAATAACAAAGTGGTAGATCGGTTTTTCCATTAATCACTCGCTAAAACCAGTATTCCGAATCCACCGAGTTCAGGAATAGCAGCTTGTGCAATCTCTCGTCGGTCAGTTGGTTCCTCCATCGTACGCTCGTGACTCCCGCTTTCGAGAACAGGGTACCCGCGGGATCGGACGTGGCGACGATCGACAAGTACTTGACCGCCACTTTGTACAACGTAGGATACAGCGTTCTCATGCTCTCCCACTTCTCCAGAGGGACGTCCTTTAGAGAGGCGAGCGGACTGGCCAGGTACAGGGACAACTCGTCCTTCAGAGACACGCCGTCACCCTCCTCCTTCGGCTTGTGCGCCAAGAGTCTGTGGTGAATCCAGAGGTCGTATTTGGTGTCCTCCTGCTCGGCGTCGGACTCGCCGAATGAGCTCGCGTTGGACAGCTTGCCGATCGTGTCGCGCAACAGGTACATAGCGTCGGACAGAGCCTGTGCGTTCTGGAAGTGTATGTTCTTGAAACGGGGATCGAGTATCGTGGCGAGGGAGACCGAACTGATACACTCTATGTGGCCAAATCTCCTTTCCAATTCCGTGAGGATGATCTCCTTCAGCCTCGTTGACAATTGCTTCGTTTGCGTGATCTTCTTGTACTCAGTCAGGATGCAGTTGATGAGCGGTATCACCTTCGAAACCGCGATATACTTCTCGGCCGAGCATTCTTGCACCACGAATTCCAACGGCCTTAATAGATCCAGAATCTCCTTCAGCGTGGCCAATTCCTCGTCGGTGGGTTTCTCGGGAGTCTTGCGACTCACGTACAGGATCTCATCGATCACATTCCACGATTCGAGGAATCGTTCGATCATGCAGAATGTGGTGTGCCACTTCGCTTTGATGTCCAAGGTGAGCTTCTTGGTCTCGTCCTCAGGTGCATCTGCGTCAGTTAGGCGATGATGCAGCTCGTTGCTTAGGTAGGGGTTGCTCCTCATGATTTTCACGATCCTTCTCACTTGGTCGATGACGTTACCGAGGCCTTCGCACTTCTTTATGGAATTCTCCACTACCAAGTTGATGGTATGAGCGAAACAGACTATATGCTTGTCTTTACCGAAGGTCTGCGTGACCGCGGAGACTATGTTTGGCTCGTCATTCGTCACAACTGCGGCGATTTTGCCGATAGCAATGTTCCATTTCATCAGGGCGCTCAACAGAGCGCACCCTATGTACTCTTCTGTGTATTCGGGCAACTCGATGACCTCGATGTTGCACGACTCCAGTTTTCTACTGTCGTTCGCTACGAAGTGTACTGTCAGTCCCAAGTAGTTCTTAAAGAACACTGTCTCAGTCCAAACGTCGGTAGTAATGGTCACGTATGGTGTTTCATTCAGCTTTTGCCTGAATACCTGCGCCACTGATTCGTATTTTTCGTCTAGTCTCTTCTTGATTGTGTCCTTACTAGGTATTTTGTAAAGCGGCGCAAGCTCGTTCATCAGGTGCTTGAATCCCTTACATTGGATAGTGCTAAATGGCTGATTGTCAATACAGATGAAGTAAAGGATAGCATCCGATATCTGCATATGGCGATCCTCGTCATCTAAAAAATATATAACATTTACGAAGTGAGATACTTATAGTTATTTTTAAAATATATATGTGCGTACACATATATACAAACGTATATCTTAATTAGGAATTATCTTTGTAACTGATAAATCTCTGAATTTTACTTTTATATTTCTTTTTTTTTATGTATCTTAAGTTTCTGACACAAAAGCAATGTCTTACCAGAATAGCTGGATATCCTTTCAATAGCTGCAACTATAGGCGATGTATTCATTGATACATCGATAAATTTTTCCTATTGCAAGAAAAGGAAAATATTCAATTAAAAAAATATATATAATAAGATCTGCAATCGGCTCTTGTCATTCTTTATTATTATATTTGTTTGACTTTAATCAAAGAGACTTAGAATCATTAAATTTATAAGCGTACAGTCGTAGAATATAGAAGAATTAATTGATCAATAAGAAAATACATATACCTCATCTTCAGCCTCATAACTTGTCCCAGGATTCGAAGCATCAGTAGTGTTGTCAGTAGTGTTTTCAAATTCCAGCCAATGACTGCGAGGTGATAGGAAACTTTGTAAAGTCTCTCCAGTTGAATTATCTGGTATAAGCAAGAATACATTACTTGTCAAATATATGTTCAGTGGATCTCTTCCTCTTCTTTGACTTGAGTTTTTCAGGTTTGTCATCCTTCTTGTCTGCACTGGCACTTTTATTGTGCATATTCAAATGTTTCATCATATTAGACGTATTGCCGGAGGACTTGATGTGTTTATTGCACAAGTTACACGACACTGTAGCCTCGTCTATTCTCTTAAAGTAGAACCACATCTTACTCTTATACGGCATATTCGTGGTGGCTCTGATGTAGCAACAAATAGTCGTTTCTTCCCCTTTTCTTCCTAAATTTCTTAGATTTCCATCTTCGTCCGCAGACACGAATTTCACACTTAACCTATCGTTTTTCACTTTACAAGGCAGCACGAATGTCGTCACCAGTAACACCTAGAAATATCGATGCTCGATGTTCTTATCGGTCGAGTAGGAGTATACGAATATCGACACTCGACCAGTCGGAGCTGCCGGCGAAGTTAGTCGTGGCTGAGTATCGATACTCGATGCTTTTACCAGCCGAGTACGAGCGTGCGAGTATCGATACTTTCGACTGCCCCTTTCGTTGGTTTATCGCTACTTGAGAGCGATACCTTGTCATGTTCTCTCCTCGATACCATGAAAACGGCCTCGTAAGTTTGATACCACACAGATGCAGCTATTAGAGGAGATCGATGTTTGAAAGTGATGCATCAACGAAAGTATCGCGTTCTTCCAGAACAGATACATTGTTCCAAATACCAATTTCCGCTTAATATATGAGAAGTATCGATCGCACAAGTATTTAATGCCGCACGTAAATTACAGCCTCTACTATAAAGCAGGAATTCAGCAGCCGATACTTTCCCTACGATATATGCTAATATAATCTCGCATTACGCATATCCGCGCCAAAAGGAGATAAGTAGAGAAGTATCGATCCTTACCGGACACTTTCCATTCGATACTGCCTCTCGTGTGTCGCTATGTAATTCATGTGGAATCTTGTGTGACTGATCGTACCAGCTTGGGAATCTAAGTAGTGTGGTGATGTTAACATTATTTTTATATTAGAAACATTTTTCTACATGAATTATGGTACTTGATTAATCACTTCTACATGAAAAACATCTTATGCCCGTTTCTACGATCGTCGATCAAATCTTAATTTAAATTTAAACTTTATTTAGAGAAAGATTTAAATTCCGATTAAGGTTTCATCGACGTCGACAAAATCGTGCATAATGCGTGTATCCAAGAAACGAGTAACGTAGCGATTTTTCGATATCATTGGAAGAAAGAAATTGATTTCTGCCATTATTATTTAAGATAGCGACATTTAGAGAAACCGCTCCATCTCAAACGACCCATGTCTGTTTACATTGTCCCAAAAGAATTACAAGAATATTTTTTACGTATATACATACTTATAAACATGTTATCTGCTGTGGCATCGATTCCTCGACATACCAATACGCGCAACGTCGAAATTGACAATAGGGAGTCACGTGACCTCCGTAGGCCGACGATAAGCGACGTCTCTGCGTTTCTAGATCCATTCTTTGCTGAATACGCATATCTCCAGATCCGTCCGAGGCGGTCATCAACGGCCATTACGGCTCTGCCTCGTGTATATATTGTAGACCCCCGATTCACGAATTTACATAACGCCATTTTTTATTCACAAGACGTACGTTCAGCTAGCGTGTGCCTGATCGGCTGAGATCGTAGCTGACCTTATGAGTTTGGTTGTTTTTTGAGGTCGTCGAGGTAATGGGCCTTATTTATAATCCAGCGGTCCTCAGCTGATCGAACAGCTGAACGAATAAACGAGTGGATTCGTGGAGGCTGATATATGTAATCACGAAACGTGGTAATTGCGTTTGTGACAATTACGAAACAGTATTGCTGTAAAATAATATTTCAATGCTAATCTTTCAGTGGTAGTTCAAACTTGTAGACTTAAGCCAGATAAATTGGATAAATTTAGATTTATCAAACTTAGATTTGAGCTTAAATTCTATTCAAACGCATTGTTAGAGCAGAGTTTATAAAAGTAGATCTAAGTTCAAACTATTATTGTAAAATTGATCTTTAAAGATCTCAGAGATTCTCGGAGGAAATTTCGCGAGCAATTTTTTGCTGATCTCCATGATTTCCCAGTCGTTTTCGTAGACCAAAATTCCGAAAAGACGCTCTAAGCATCAGCATTTGGTAAGCTCCACAATCTTAAAATACCTCAAGCAGATCTTCCCAGATTTTCAATAATCTTGAAAAGATCTCTCGGATTACATCAGCGATCTTCGGGTACTCCGAGAACGCGTATATAGAGATCCGGGAGAGCTTCTGTACGTACACTTCTCTGTTCACGTTTGTGTCACGTGCACTATCAGCCTTTCTATGAGAGCAGCAGTGATAGCAGGCCGTCCACCTAAAGATAAGACTCCGAGTACGGGCCACAAAAATGCGTCTCTATTCAGTATATTCATCTCATTCTCATGGCTGCGACGAAATAAAATTTCGTCCCCTCCCCGTTCTCCCATACTATCGAGCGATGTATTTTCTTCATCCGTTTCGCCGCAAGCAGATCCGCGCTTTCAATACAGTTTTGCAATTACAACACGAATTCCACTTTTCTTCGGACGCGCTATTTGCCAGATTGAATCGAATTAAATATCGTCTCGATATTATCGAGATTAAATCGCAACAGCAGATATTGATCATTAGTAGTTTTGCCGTGCAATTACTCATAGTTCAGGATAACTAGTATCGCAATCGATTGCGTCACAGTGTTAGGATAGGTCCGTGCTTCAGATACTTGAAGTTGTTTAATCATTTATGATCTCGTCTCTCGAGGGAAAACAAACTTCATTTCAAGCGCACGTTCGCCTCTCGTACACGGCGCACTATATGCATATACGAACGATAATAATTAGATTCATATATTCTTACAAGGTAATCCACAATCTGCAAGATGGTGGCGCTTATCAGGAGCGCATCTATCGATCGACTCGGCGGGCCAACATGCTCTCCGAAGCGCGCTCGCGCGAATACCAAAACATCGCGTAGTGCTTGCGCCGAATAACAGTTTAAGTCGTAAAAGCAACGACGACAAATAAGCACAGCGGGTCATTGTCCAATGGGGGACGAGATTCACGTTCAACGAGCCGTAGAGACTAGAGTCGCCGCCGTCGTTCATGCACGCGCGTTATGATGCCTGGTGATACTTCGATAGCACCCAAGTATTAATACATCGTGGAAAACGGTTCAGTTAGCTTGAACCAAATACCAGAAGGTAAATAAAGTTGGAGAATACTGTATACATATGTATAGTTTTGCACGAACGTCAGCAGGGGTCGCTCGCGCGTACTTCGTGCACGTATCGCCGCATTCTTTCGAGTAAAATTTGCATCTGTATCAATATCGTACAATGAAACAGACGCGAGTCGATGTTCTCTTCGATTTAATTCCCAAAGATTACGACATCCTAATTGTATCATCGGTGTTATTACTGCGCCGGAATTTGTTAGATTTAGTACACAGGAACTTATCTTCAAGGAATTTTTTCAATTTAGGAAAGTATTTTTTATTGGAAAATATGTTTTTATTTAAAAGATTTTTAATTTGAATATATTTTTTAAGATAAAATGGTATTATCAGTTGTTATCACTATACAGGAATTTATCAGATTTGGCTAATAGAAATTTACCTTCTTTTTTTATTTAGGAAAGAATTTTTTAGTTTAATTTAAAAATATTTTTCAAAATTGAAAAGATTTTAAAATAGTTTGAAAAAAATGTTTTTAAATTGGAAAATTTAAGATAATCTACATTTTTTTCGATAATTGATATCGATACCGCTATAAATATCCGCGCTAATGAAGGCGGTCATTATTTTGTCATTATTTTAATATCAACATAATTATTTTAATATAATTTTTCCTTCATTAAGGACTAAGCTTTACACATCAGATGTCATCGGATGTGTGAGATAAACATCCGGCATACGAATGAACCTCTGCGATCGATTTTTTGTAAAATGTCGATATGAGCCGTCATCATGAGACGACTGGTAATCGTCTAGCGTGACTAATAGGACGAGTGAGCTTACAACGTTTACCCGTGAACATGTACTGGTCCTTACTGCGTGTAGATGCGCGTATACATGCACACGAAATTGTCTTTGCGTGCGTCCATGCACATGTGTGCGCGCGCGCATGTACATGTAACGAATAATTGCACAATAGACGCGCATATGTACGTATTTTATGCATATATCTCTATGTGCATTTGTCAATTGTAAATGTACATATGTTTCTGCGTTGTCTGTATGTGTATAGATACATACAGATATAATGCTATAAATTCAGCCACTTTTCAAGAGGACTTTTCCTCAAGTTCGCGTAAAAAGTTATAGAGCGGTTTGAACTTGAAGATATTACGTGTAACTACACAAGACAATGAGAAGTAGAGAAAGAGGAAGAGAAAGAAAGAAAGCAATGGACGTGCCGTTGAGCGCGATCAGTTTCTGCACATTGGACTTTATTATTGCATTCGCTGACTCATGATACAAGAGCGACGGAATGATCGGATATTCGATTCGCGTCTTTTCTCCCGTAATTGAGAAGAGACGGAACAGTTGATGAAATCGATGTTGAAAAGTTTAAATTGAAATTCGTACCTACGCGTACACTCACAAATTCGACTAGCAGTTCGAATCCGAGTAGTGCGCGCGCGTTGTAGTTTTTCGCGACTCCTTGTACATTTCACGCAACGGGTGGCCGTTAATGTGTCACTGACGATGAACGTTTCTCAATTGTCACTATATTGCCGCCCTGATGATTTTTCGCGCCCGCTCGGCGCACTTTTTAGATCGATGTCTCGGGTTTCCGCGGCGACCGAGATAACAATTACGATAAATAATAACAAACACACGTACACAGGTCGTGCGCGGCGCGCAGTACTTGCGAGTCTTCGCGCAACTACGCAGTATTTGCAACGCCTCGCGAATGACGAGGATTCCGCGGACAGTTGACGTTTCGATTGCCATTAGATAGGAAAATGTGTGAGAAAAACAAGAATCACTTAAATAATCAACAACCAGGCCTGTTCTTTTTCAGTTGAACTGATGTTGCACTTCGTTCTTTTCCCACCAACGCTTGATTACATGTTTCACTCTACAGTGAGAAAAAAATATAGTTATCTTTGGAGTCAACTATATTCTTTTGTGATTTTAAATATCATAAAAATAGTTAGAAAAACTACCATTTTAGTAAGTGTTATTAGAAAAATAACACTAAAATTATTTTTCTTCTAATTTTTTTTTTTTTTGTTAAAATCATAAAAAAGTATAGTTGATGCCGAAAGCAACTGTATTTTTTTCTCAGTGTAAAAGGTAAAAAGTGCGGTCTATACTGAGAGAAAAATTATCTGAAAAATAAAAAATGTATTCAGTGCTCATAACATATTTACTCACATATAAATTCTTCTATTTAAATAGAATAAATAATTGCTTTCATGAAAAGCTGAGGTTCCAAAAAAATGTATATTTTCTTATTTGAAAAATGTTTTATATCAATGTAAGTCAATTTGTTATTGATATTTACCGAATAAATAATTTGTATTTTTTTTAGATCTTTTTTCTTGGTGTAGTTCAGCTTAAAAGAATAAATCTTATTGACTGCGCGAATGTGCGGATTCGTGAATCGACCAGCAGCTGTGAACCGATCGGACAGTGAGAACGTTGAGAAACTGTGAAAATGCCGAAATCCAGTTGGGATGGAGAGATCCCGATCTATTCCTGTGTTCAATGGCATCTAACGGGTGATTCAAACCTCGTCCGACCACGTTTGATAACCGATAAGAAACATTAATGTACAAAGGTATGGTCAAAGTTCTGAGAACGCTGCTTGAGATTATTTATTCTGGATATTTTGGATATTAGATATATTGGACACCGGTGAGAATTTCATGCGCAATCCGTCGTTAACCCGGCGCGTCTTCAAAGTCGAAATGGATTTTCTCGACGTTATGTAAGGCTTTTGAAGACGTCGCGTTGGCGAGATGATTATTTCACCGTGCAATGCGCCATCGTGCTGAATTACATACGCGAGATGTCTATTTTCCCGAGAGCTCATCGAACAGTTTTCATGTATCCGCCGTCTCGGATCGATACGAATGTGTCGTTGGTTGATTCATTCATTTTTTGTCTTCTTCTCGATGAACCCTCGGCTTGTAGTCTGAAAACTTTTTAGTTGGTCCTCGTGTTAGTCACCTCGCAGTTTTTTCGGTCACTAGGTAAAACATTTCTCTTTCTTCGTCCTCGCTTATTTTTCAGTCGTCCGTAATTTATAGAACTGCTTTGACGAGATCGATCGTCTATCGGAAGTTTTTTCCCCACTTTTGAATCGTCGACATTATCTCGGAGTTTGTGTGCGCAGTTTTTTCAGTACACTCGATATATTCGCAAGCAGAAAGACTCGACCATTTTCAACGCATGTCAAATCGTATCCAACGAACATTAAGAACATTCATCCTTCGCGATTAATCCAAAGCAAATCCTTTAATTGGATATCGACTACTATTTTCAAGAGTCCGAAAGAAGTATTCGAAAGAAAGTGTTTGAATTTTCTTGTCTCCGGGTGTAGTCAGTGGAAGTAAAATTGCAACGCACTATGATCTCGATAAACTTCTGGACGTTTCCGTTACCTAACGGAAAAATTTACCTATAATTATTAGATCGTTATTAGAGGAAATAATAATAGGAGATTATTATTGGAGGAAAAAACTATTTTTCCGCTTAAACGCACGCACGCTTCGGAAAATTCGAAGAAAAGACTCAAGAAAAAAAGTCCAACCTTTCTTCCAGCGATTATACTGTGCGCTGTTTATCCGACTCATAGCTGCGCCGATCTACACTGTAAAATTCCATGTAATTATGAGACCAAATATTATAGTTATAAATTTACACAATGTATCAAAATGTGTCTTTCGTCTATATAAATATATTTTTATGCGATAATTACATGTGTAAATTTACATCTGTAATAGTCTCAAAATTATCCACTATAATAGATGTAATTTTACACCAATTTTTTACAGTATAACCCGGGAACAGCTGGAACTGCGAAATTACAGATTCACGTATAAATAGCAATTAGAATGTATTACCCAACGAATTGATAACTGCGTTATCGTAATGCATCTCGCATTAAGTCGCTACGCGGGTCGTAAATGATCCGCGGATCGTAAACTTATAATCGGCCCTTGACGTCACACGATCGACGCCAGAGATCGTGACGCGTTGTGTATTCGCGCGCGCTCATTCGTTCTTTCGTTCGTTCGTTCGTTCGCTCACTCGCGCGCGCGTTAATCGATCACGCTCGCCTCGATTACCTAATCGCTGTCCCGCCGTGACGGAACGAAATTCTTTCACGGCTCGCGAAGACTCGCGCACCGGATTCGAACTAAAATTGGCAGTCATGTTATGATGACACGGAGAGCCGCGCGAGAAGGTATGCCGCGTTTGTGTCCAATCGTTTCCTGTTCTTTTTTTTTTACATCACACCTGATCCCAAAACAAGACGACATTTCCATCTCTGCGGATATAAATTTAAAACTGGAACGTAGCCAATCTCGCGCGCGTTAATCGAATTTCGTAATAAGCCTTTCGTGAATGTTCCACCCGCGAAAAGGAAGCCATCCTTCGTGAAACTTGCACCTTCGAGTCATCAAAATTTTCATTCTAGATCCGAAATTTTCACACAAATCTTGAAATCTTGAAATATATTCTATTTACAGTCTGAGACATGATAGTTCTTCAACAAAGCAGGGGAGTCTTCGACTGCACAGTTACAATTTGCGTTGAACAGGTGTCAAGATCAGGTATCATCTTGAGGACAAACGGCACTTAGAAATGTTCCTTAGAAATGTCAGACGTAAGTATTGATACCTGGTCAAATTCGAGCGCCTCCGTCGATAACTCGTCTAATTAGCGCCCGTTGATTGGTCACCTTCGTCAGCGCGCCGCTGCGACGGCGACAGTGCCGACGCATCACAGCGCAAGGGTGGGGGCTTATTTACGCTTGGCGCCTTGGGTCACGCCAATCTCGCACCAACGATGTGGCGGCAGTCTTCATACGACGTTCGTCGTGCGTTTCCAGTATATCTTGTGTTTCCCCTCTTGCTTTTCTTTCCTCCATTTCTCCCCGCAACATGTGCCTTCGTGCGAGTTCGGCGGTTGTCGTGTTTGTGATGATGAACAAGCCGAATCGATACTGGATCGATATCTTGAACTACGAACTAGGGTTCTAAGATCGAAGGGACTCAAGGCAGATAAGAAGTCATAATCTCGAGATGTTAACGCGTGACTGTGCCTAATGAACAAATTAAGAATGTAGAAAAGGGCCTGACACACTGAGACAAGCTGGGCCTTCGGACTATCTTGAGAAAAAGTGCTTTTTCTTTTGCTGATAATTCTGCGTGCGAGAATTGCCAAGTGGAGTGTGGCCGTTTGAACGATATTCGAGCACAATTTGCGACCGTTGACGGCCCCGAGGGAGTGATACAACGCATCAGTCGAATGCGAGTCACGTGCCGCGCGCGAGCACATCGTGCGATCTTGCAGTGTCGTGAGACTTCGCGAAAAGAGACTTTTTGAGACATCCAGTGCCCCAAGGACGAATCACCGTCAAGAGTGAGAACGAGGTCTATGGGGGACGTTCAGTGATACGCGGCGCTTTTTGCTCGTCGAGGTCGACGCGGCCACGAAAGGGTCTACGAGTCTTCCGCAAGGGATGTTCTGATGGCACCCGATCTCGAAAAGAGGCGTCAGGAACTCAGGAGAGGTAGCAGCGGGACCTTGGAACATGTCAACGATCCTTTGAGCATGCTTCTGCAGCTAAGATGCGCGGGAGGCACGTTGACAGACCTCTATCGTTATGGTAATTAGCATAGGTCTTGGAAACATTAGGTCTGAAAGGTTGCGCAGATTAGATATACTGAGAAAAAAATATTTGAGAATTGATCTTTGGGATACAAAGTTTATTTCTTTGAAAGAAACTTTTTTTCTACAAATCAATTTTCCAATATTTTTTCTCAGTATAAAACAAAGGACGAAGGCACACTATGCTATTTTATGTTATTCGGAACACTTGGTAGCCCTATAGAATTTTGGAAAACCAACAATATGACCGACCTGATAACGCAAACTATCACGTCATACCTAGCTTTTCTAAAGATTAGATTCTTTATCAGAATATTTCAAATAAACACTGAGAGAAAAATATTTGAAAATTTATTTGTGAGATATAAAGTTTATTTCTGCAAAGTAAAATTTACTTTTGTAAAATAAACTATTATCTTATAAATAAATGTTCAAGCATTTTTGTTAACAGAGAAGTGTCGTCGTCATACGGATACGTCGTGCGGAATGTAGGCATAGAAAAAGTACCCATATTTTTGCAAATATGGACACATCTGTGCAGAGGAAGAGTAAAGGAATTTAAAGGAACATTTTGCTGAAATCTCCTTTAATTTCTTCTTTGTTAATTCCTCATTCTCTAGATTCTCGTCAGTCCCTAGATTTTCTGAGTCCTCTTCTATTGCACTAAAGCGGCTTCATTGACGCGGAGCTAAGTATGATATCTTCTTCTCGTATGTACGTTTGCGCGAGTTGATATTTGCGGAACAACATATTTGCCAAATATTCGTATCGCAGCAGGTTATTAAGCGCGATTAACCCTCGCGATAAATATTTTCGTTCTCCTCGCTCTCGCGGAAGTCGTTAACGCGCCTAATTTATCCACGTCGCGCGACATTTTTAAATATTGCACCGACCGTGCACTTCCGTCTCGCGAAATTCGCTGCTCCGCTTTCGCCCCGAGTGGAATTCCATACGGAATCCAGGACTACACATATTGATTCTCTTTATTCGGAATGTTACGTGCGCGAAAGAATGATGCTTCCGATATTGTAATTCAATATGGCGGCGACTGATTCAGAGAGTTTTAAAGATGAAACGGCTCGTTTGCGCACACGCTCACGCTTTTGCGGGGTCGATGGACTTCTGACGAATGTTTTTCCGTGCTATCTCCCGCCAGCATTATTATTGTTTAAAACACTCGGCGCTAGTATCGGAGCTAGCGGGCGAGAAGATGGCAGCGTGCGAGCGGTCCCAGATAACCTTCGTGGTTCCTGATACGCGCCCGAGACACACAATGAAATATGAGAACAAGATATTGTAAGGAACGAGACAGAAAGAGAGAGAGAGAGAGAGAGAGAGAGAGAGAGAGAGAGAGAGAGAGAGAGAAAGAGAGAGAAATAAATGCGAGAAGTCGATTCGCAGTAAACAGTCGACGAGAGTATCGAGATGTTAGGTACAACGTTCGAACGACTTTCGTCGGAAAAAATGACGGAAGTAGGGTGATTACGCAGAGAATATATATTATAGTTTTCTTTTATATAAGATCTTTTCAACTTCACTATATTTTTAGCAAACTGGCAGTAAACTCTATCTTGGTGGGGAACATAATAAATTTCATTAGAAACAGCAGACCTCGCTGCAATGTGCTATTAAAACACAACAAGTCTTTTAATAGCACATTTCAAATCCTGATATATATATAAATAGCGCACATGAAATGAAAGGACAGTGAAATACTACAGAATGTCGATCTATTCTTTGATTGCAAAATATTATAGTAATTTTTACTATAAAATTCTTTTCTGTGCTTTCATTTTGGCATTATATGTCGTTGAACTCCATGTATGCATTGTGAGTTAAGAGAATTCAGAAAAAAAGAATTCAGATTAAAAAGTGGCGAGTTTGTGTTTGAGACTTGGCAACTGAAGATCAAAAAGATAAGGGGCGATCATTTTTCCCAGAACATAGATTTTCGACCAGACGAATATTAATATGCTCACATTAATTTCCCGTTTGTTTTCCTGTCATTGTTTACGAATGCTTCAGCAGAATGGCGTCATTGGTGCGATTGCGATGGAAAATATAGCATTCCATTCGAAATCATGCGGCCGAGTGATTAACGAAAAAGAAAAAAAAGTGTTAAATTATTTATACAAAGATCGGAAACTCGTTTGGATCGTTGTATAATGAATTAAGAGCGAAGGAGGATATAAAAATCGCTGTTTTTTTCGGAGATTCCAGATTCTCAGGAGTTGAGGATCCAAATTAGCCAAATTAGCTGGGGCTCTGAGAGACTTTGGGACTGAGAGGCTTTGAGAGAAAGAGAGAGACAATCTGAAAAGATCGGGGAATCTGAGCTGACGACTTGACAACGCGAACGTTCGAATTGGGAAAAATCCGTCGCTGTCAAGCTACTTGAAATTCCGCAATCTCGAGAATCTAAGGATATAAAGCGACAGGAACGGTCGCGAAGGACGGTGACATGAAAAAATCGCAAAAGGTCCAAGAACTCAGTCCCAGTCCGAGAAGCTCACCTCGTTCATGGTTCCGTCGTTGTTGCATTTGCGTCTCTGGACACCTGTAATGGTGGTGGTGGTGCTGCTACTGTCGATCTATATCGCCAGCTCCGCAAATTGATACGCAAAAACGGTGTTTGGCCTATGCTCATGTCTGGCAAGTCGCTAAAGTCGCGCGCAAATATGAATTGGGCGCATACGCGGCTCGTTAACGGCGCGTTGTATACGTAGTTGAGTAACGCCTATGATTCGTCGAACACAACGAAGCCAAACGTAGAGAGGCGCATGCATACAGACACGCACGCATGACAGTTGACTCAATTGGACGGCGGATTGATAAATTCCATTAGGCCGCACGAACTGGTTTTTCGAGTCTGTTCTCGCTTAGCGCGCGGCTAAACGCCTCTAAATGCCCATTCGTGCCGATCGTTCACGGGTTTGCGTTAATTCTCGATGTGCGACCGCTTTGCCGAATGAATTTGTGCGATCAAAGCGAAATTTGTCACGCGAAAATCTAGTTATGAAATATAAGATGTGTAAACACAGCGCGCGCTGATGATTAGAGAGAGACAAGGAATATACAATTGTCGAGAACTCGTCGAATCGCATCGAATTATCGAGGATCTGAAAAGTACAAGTGTAATCATTATTGATTGCAGGAAACTTTTCGAATTGCTATTATTGCAATTGCAGAATCGAAAAAATATAAGATTACGTATGCGTGTTTCTCGCATTCGTATCGTACAATATAAGATCAACAAGCAAAGAGATCTTTCTGAGACGTCATTTCTTTTGATATGCTAAGTATATTAGCATCGATGATTTCATTTCTGTGAAGTCGCTTTCTTCTTCAACGAATCGACAAGTGCGATAAATTAATATTTACATTGATACAGTTGGTTGGTGTGGCCAACTAGCTGATTAGGGCAATGATAGATATCTTTACGCCTATCTTCGCGTGAGGAGGACGCATTTCGACGTCGAAATTCGTGCTTCGTTCAATTTCAAACAGTCGTCTTAATGGACTTTTAATATGACTTAACTACCAAGTCGATTTTCATTTAATATTTATAATATCTTAATGTTCATTTAATATTTATAATATCTTAATGATTATATTTTGTTATTATTGCATATATTTTATTATGTATTTTCTAGAGATCTGTGTTATTGAAAGTTGAGATAATTTCTATTTAATGACGATAAAATTGACAAATAATTAACAAAGATAAAAAAGCACCGGGAGAGAAATTGGAATACGATTATAAGGAATAATTTGTCAAAGAATGATATTGGCACACTGATGTAGAAAAGGCTTCCGAGACAATTTATTTTGTAGCAGCTCATATAATCTTTCACGTTTTAAATTGCTATCATGTTACTAATGCTCTGTACGTTAAGAAGAAATATTTGAAAATTTATATTTGCGGGATATAAAATTTACTTCCGTAAAATTAAGTTTATTTCTGTGTGAATAAACTTCATATTCCACGTACAAATAAATTTTCAAATATTTCTTTTTCAGTATATTATTCTCTCGTTTTAGCAAGTTCCCATTTCTGACAACAAAGGTGCATTTGGAACATAGCGATTGTTATAGAATATTACCAAAATATTACCAATATATATTAAGGTTACACGTGGTAACGCATTCGCGTTATCACGTCGGCTAATGAGTGATAACTCGTTAGTCGACGAGAATTTTGATGTGCATAGATTTTAGTTCATCGATAAACGGTTAACGTTTCTGTTATCGCTAGAGTATCTTGTCCTGATTTTTCTTCCTCCTTTTTTATTTTCTTTTTTAATTCACGCTCGGCTCAGAACGTATTCACTAAGCACGTTCCCGCCTATCACTGAAATCACTGTCTCGTTATCGGGTCTTGTTCGAGTACGGTAGGTACATGATGGTCTTATTGATAAGTCACCATCGTGTCTCCGATTTGTCATCAGTAATCAATAAAATTTATACTGCGCTCCTTTATTCTCTTCTTTCTCGTTTGTCAGAGAATGACAAGCAACGTGTTATTACTAACTACGTAACAGCGTGAATTTCAGGTTACACCGGTTCTTAGTCAACTGCGCTCTTGCTTAAGTACTCCGCTATTATTCTCACTTATATGTCGCACTTCGATTATTTAATCTAATCCAATTAATTTGCGCATACTTCAGCCTCATTTGAATATAACTTTTGTGTGGCAGCTGACAGTTGACTTGTGATATTTTATCTGCTTCTCACTTTATAAATACGTTCATAAATATGTTGCGCGTGTCGATCTCTGTTAACACGTTGTGTTGCGCTTCTTCTAGGTTATTACTCTCACCGTTTGGCCTCAAGTTGCTGCTCGCCTGCCTTTCACTCATACACACCATTCAGATACTCTTCGTGGATTGTCGAAATTCTGAAGCATAAATAAATTGTGCTGCGCCCCTATCTGTGTTCCATATCTTCTGGCACCGGTACCAAACCGTGCCGAGTTTTCAGAGTCTCTTCGACTTCTTATCTCGACTACTTAAGTAGGCTATCAGGAATGCCATTAAGTGTACACAAAACTCGAGCGAGCTCGTGCTGTCGTAAAGACTCGTTCTGTCGAAACTCAAGGAAACCCCGGAATATCTGATGCTTCGGCATAACATGTCAAACTCACTGGATCCCATAGTCCCCAAATAAAGAACCACACGAAAATCCCAGTGCATTTTGGAAACGATCAAATCGTAACTATCACGAAAGCAATGTACACTGATTTGAGCTTTTACTCATTTGAACGATACACCGAGAAGAAGATACTTGAAAATTAATTTGTGTGTGGGACAAAAACTTATTTCAGAGAAATAAACTTTATTTTATAGATATACATTTTAAAGTAAAATTTGTGGGAAAGCTTTTCTCATTTAGAATTGCATGTTTGAAACATTACACTTCTATCTGAAACCTATAATTATACTGGGAAAGATCACATAAAATTTTCTATGCAAGAGATTCTGATCAGAGGACGTGTATATGTCCCAAAATTCACCCATGGCGCTGATAATCAGCTCGTCCATGAATAAGCTCACGGATAGTACCCCCGGGTCCTGTCTGCCACGAGGATCGACCGGATCGATCCGATCATCCGTCCATTCGTTCTGGTAACAATATTTCCTTGAGACTCGAGAGGAGAGGCGTCGTAGTTAGCGCGCTCGCGCTCTGTTTGCGGTGTAATAGTAACGATGTTTATCGATCTTGTTATCGAGGGTACACTCTTTCTTTCTTTCTTTCTTTCTTTCTTTCTTTCTTTCTTTCTCCCTCTCGCTCTTTCTCATCCTCTTTTTCTTTCCCGAGGACGCTGGAAGACGCAAATACCAAAGGAAGAGAGAGAGAAAGAGAGCCCTAATTCGTCTTGGCGGTACCCTTCCATGCGACGATAAAGAGTTACATTCACCTCCAGCGTAGGTGTACAGAGAACGCGTTCTGTCGCGTTTATTTATCGACTGGCGAGATTGCCAGGGTAATTAAAACCCTCGCGGCGCATCGGCAGTCCGCGCGAGACGCTCGCAATTATTATCTTTATAGCGTTGCCGCTCGCGATTGTGCCGCTATCACGACAAGCGACCTCCGCCGATCGTCTCCAAGACGCCCCAGATGTCTGTTGCACAAATGCTCGTTGCATCGACTTCTGGAAGGATGAAAGCGAACGAGACTTCCGGATGAGTCGGTCCAAGACCAAAATTTTATAGATGCGACTTCGCGTTACCGAAAAACGGTCTTTGCGAATTCTGGATTGTTTCAGCTCGGGATCAGGAAAACATTACAGGATTGACTCGGTAATTTCTATAATGGTGATTAATCATCAACTAAAAAAAAGAGGAAAGAAGAAATAGGAGAACGCAGTTCTCCACCTGAAGGACGTGACATAATATCCAATGCAACAACATAGTAACCGCAAGAAAGAGAAGAAAAAGGAGTGGAAAGCGAGAAAGATGGAGATTGAAAATCGACAGCCGTTGGGTCGTTGACATCGTCCCGTGATTTTCCTCGACGTTCACACAGATGCATCTTATGCACATGTGTGCACGCGTCGATTACGTGCCCACCCCCTGCGTGTCGCGGGGCCGGGAGGACAGAAAGGACGAGAGGAGGTGTAGGAGATGGGGGTGGGGGTGGGGAATCGAACCCCCTCGCCACCAGTTGCGTCCGCGATTGCAACTTCACCCCCACGCAATTATCCCGTCCAGTAGCCGAGGTGGTCTATAGTTAGATCGTCCGACATTGCTCCGCCGCCCCTCCTCCCTTCTCATCCCCCGCTCGCTCGTCGACGTCGTCGTCGTCATCATCATCATCTCTGTCCTTTTGTCTCTCTTTCGCCGACTCGTGTGTTTCGTATTTTTCCCCCCTTTATCGTGCCCCGACGAGAGAGAGAGAAAGAGAGATGCACACGCCAGCTCTCCATGCTCGATGCATAAATCGTGAGCTGGTCTATCAATACTGGCTTGAATGGTTCATGGTTCGTGTCGGAGTTCGGCTTTATTGAAAACAAGCAGTCCGAGAGTCCCTCGTGAGAGACTTCTCCTTCTCGTGGCTCAAAGAATGTACAATCCCACTCTGCTCGCGTAACAGTACTGTTCGCGGTATATCACTTTGGTGTTCAGTATCCGAGAGTGAAAGATATCTTCGAATGCGAGCCAAGTATGGTCTTAGAAGAAGCGGATTGCTTTGCTGAGGAGTGTCTGATATTTTCTTGTGCGAGGACCCGATGATTGGTGAGAAACTCATGCTGTAAGGTAGGAGTTCGCGAGAAGAGGTTCCATCTTTCTTCCTCGTACAAAGCTGGGTGTAAACCGCTTGGGACACTGAAGACCCTTCGAAGATTCAATAACGTGAAGATCTAGAACATTGACAGAAAACTGAAGAATTATGACGAAATATTCGTCATATTTTTTCTATAATTTCAGCGAGATATTCGATAAATCTGCAAAAATCTATGAGACGTTAAGGATCTGAGCTTTCTTAGGACCTGTCAAGCCACTTCAATTGAAGATCTCATGGGAATTTGTCTGACAATTTATTTGTTAAAATTTTTATACATCCCTACTCACTGAATCTAAGTTCGCGTCCGTTAATTAAGTTTTTTACGTATCACCGCATTGAACGATGACAAAATTAACTGAATAACAATCAATTGCTGCGTGGTAACCAGAGTGCATTTTTCTACTTGCAGGTAGCAACGCAGGCGGCACGTCGTCAACGGTGACAGCATCGTCCGTCTCGAGGAGCAACGCAAGTAATCGCGCTCATTCCGCGACCAGGAGAGTGGTTGGTCATCAGCAGCGACAACAGCCACAACAACAGCAACCCAGAACAACCCTGTCGACCTTCAACGCCGTCACCGTGAGGAATTCGGATGATCACGGGCCCAGAAGCGGCGCAACGCAAGACGTCTGCGACAATTCGAACGATTCCGGTCTCGGCTTTGAAGAACGTCAACAGCACTTCAGCAACAACAACGTTCGTATATTCTCCTAATGATAAACGATAACACTATGGTTACCTCGGCCGAACCATTTAATTAACATTGTCAGTATCGGCTCTAACGTTTACTGCAATTTTAATAACCGATGTGTAACTTTAGAATTTCCTATTACTCTGTTTCCTATTTCCACTCTAATATCTATAACTTTAATGTTTTTCCCTTTTTCTCTAATAGACTCTAATATATTTTATATTATTCTAATATCCACACACATCATTAGAGAAATTTGTGAAACTACTATAGAGATTGTTATGAGAACCAGATTTGATCGTAAAATAAAACTAAAGATTTCAGCAGGAAATACTTTTTATAGGACAGATTACAAGGAACTTTGAATCTCAAGAATCCATAAATTTGTTGATTCTTTTTTTTATGCAAGTCACTATTAAATATTAAAAGTGATAAAGACTCTCTTCTCGAGAGACAGTATGACGAATGATATTTCTTCGAAAAAGTTCATGAAATCTCTAGAAATAAAACATCGAGATATTATGAACCGAATCTAATGGAATTGATACGATAATCAGATTCTGATATAAATTATTCATTACGTTATATTTTTATCTTTCCACATTTCTTTTTACATACGTACACACATGCATACAAAACTGTCGATTTTCGACATGTCTTCTGCCTTTGATCTGTTGCTGAAAATGGAAAAAGGACGAAGGAAAAAGAGTCGAAAGGTCTCTATACTTGTGGGCCCTAGGGCTTTGCCTTATTTTTGCTACGACTACGTCCTTGAGTCACCCTGTTGTTAGAGACGCGACTAGAAGCCAGATGAAGTTATTTAACGCGTCCACGAGGGTACGCGTGATCGTCATCAATATCATCATCGGAGATCGCCGACCGCTCGAACGGTAGTTGAACCCAGCCGAGCTCTGATTCGTTAAATTAAGCACACAGACGTGCACGCATATGGGGTGTCCTGTTTATAACGAATATTCAAAATAACTTTTTCCCATAACATATCGAATAGAGATAGAATTTTATACTAACTAAACAGTAAATTTGATTTTATTATTGTTCGATTGATTTCATTAAGAACAATAGCTTGTCTATTTATTTCCTAAAATAATCTCGTCTCTTTTACCTGGCAAAGTTTTATTGGTCTCAATTAAGTAATTTCGACATATGTAAGATATTCCGAAAAATATATATTTAATTGTTTATCGCGTCATAAAGATATTTTTGCAATTAACTGATTAGTAATTAATCTAATCTAATCTAATTTTAAAGATAAAAATCTGTGATAGAGACTTGTTTTTCGGTTTAATTTCAAGAAAATTTAATTTATTAGAACTCTAATCTGAGCCTTATTAACAAAATATTTAAATATATTTGGGATTTTAATTTAACAAAGACAATTCAGCTTCATCTTAATTTAATAAAATCATATCATCTACGCTAAGTTAAATTTAGGAATATAACGCAAGAGGCCCATTACGAAGGTGTTATTTAATTTTAACATATATGCTGTATATGTTATTGATACAGCGTGTCTTATCTGTCTTTGTCTTTTTTTATTTACCGATCTTTCCATCGTTAACCGATTGTTTCTCTTGACCCATATTTACTGGTACGCCTTGTATATCTTGTGGATTAATCAATTGTGCGATTGCTTCATCAGCCTTGGAACGGAGCCGGCGAGGAGGACTCAAAGAGGCGGAAGATGGACATTAAGCTGGAATCCGAGGATGCGAACTTCCCGTTTTCGGAAGTGGGCCACGGTGCTAGTCCTGACAACAAATCCACGACAACCAGGACTGCTGTCAACGGGATTGGCTTGGGAGGTATTTCCGGCGGTAGGACTGGAAACGGGACCGGCAATTCTGTGGGCAGAATCGTAGGAGTAACGAGACCTCGACCTGCTATGGGCGTGCTGGCCAAAAGGGCACCGGCTACTCATCAGGGACCTATTACTCTCACCTCTCAACTATGTAAGTGGATCTTTTTATCCTTGAGACGTCGCGGCGTAACGATCGTACGAGATATCACATCTCGAATTCTTTTGTTGTCTTCAGGTGCGTAGCATCTGACACTTTGACACTAACAAAAGACTTGCACACCTTGTTGCATCTTGCCAAGCATAAAATCGGTCTGTTGTGAGGCAAGAAAACGTGTTAGTCTTGCCAGAAAGCGAGAGTAGTGACAATAGTGGTGACGACTCTTTAATACGAGATCGCAGAAACCGTATTGTTGGCTTCGATATTCTGCAACAAAAGCAAATTCATTGGTATATTTATTTCCGGCAAAATTGTTTATTTTGCCGTCTTTAACGCCGGTGATAAGATATCTCCTCCAGTTCGGGGACCGACACGCTCACTCTCTCTTTCTCTCTCTCTTTCTCGTACTTGATGTGATAAGAAAAATGACAACATTAATGCAGGACAGCGAAATTCGCTTTTTGATACTGAATATGGGTCAGACGAGCATGGCTGCGGTCGAAGTATTTATAAACTGTACGAGAAATGTGAAGCAACATGGTTCATCATAGATGGTTGATCATAAAAATTGTTTGTGATAAATTGCTTCTGATGGCGGATGTAACTAGTGCATTGTTTGCTGATACGAATTCACGATGAATTGTCTAATAATGAATTAAACTCTTTCGTGATATGGACTTATCAATGAGAAAATGGATCAATTTATTTTAGAATCTTCGTACTTTTAAACTTTAAATTTTTAATATTTGGAGTTATAAATTTCTGAAATATTGGAACTTTGAATTTTTTCAAATCTAGATCTTTAAATGACTTCTTTAAGCATTGCCTCCTAATTTGTTAATGTGCCCAAGGTTTCTAATGGCCAATAGTTTGAAAATCATTCTTTTCTAGATCTCTAAATAGTCACGAATTCTCAGTAATTTATTAAGTGCCTGGTTTTACTATTGGATTAGCTCCAAACACGATGCATCTGCCCTCCTTTGGCTTTTCTCCAATAATCCAATGGTAAACATTCTATTACCCAAAAATTTCAACAATTCAGCATATATAAATATAAAATTCTTCGAAATATTCACTTAAATCTGCATTTGCCGTGTGTAAACTATTTCATAAACATAAGTTCGCAAATAAACCTACATGATCGATATCGAACCAATATTGTGCACATTATTCTTTTTTCTAATCGACAGCAAATGCTTCTGCCGACGGTAAAACCCAATTGCAAATTATCTGCCAACCTGAACAACAGCACCGTGCCCGCTATCAGACGGAAGGCTCGCGGGGGGCAGTGAAAGATCGCACCGGGAATGGCTTCCCGATCGTCCGCTTGATTGGCTACGACAAGCCGACGAGCTTGCAAGTGTTCATCGGCACCGATCTGGGTCGAGTGGCGCCTCATATGTTCTACCAAGCATGCCGTGTCAGCGGGAAGAACTCCACACCCTGTATAGAGCGCAAAATCGACGGGACGATCGTGATTGAGGTTGAGATGGATCCAGCTAAGGAGATGCTGGTGACCTGCGACTGCGTAGGCATTCTAAAGGAGCGCAATGTTGATGTAGAGCACAGGTTCCCCCAAGAAGCCGGAGTACTTCAGGGTAGAAGCAAGAAGAAGTCAACGCGGTGCCGCATGATTTTCCGCACGACTATCACGCATGCTGACGGAACCACGGAGACTCTGCAAATCTGCTCGCAACCGATAGTCTGCAGTAAGTTGAACGAGAGAATAAATATTTCATTTAATGTGTGATTAGAGAACTAACATAAATTAATTAATAGAAAGTAAAGTTCCAAGTTAGATTTTATTATATAAACGCGCGAGTTGTTTTCGAAATGTTGCCTTCGTTTTCTCTTTAGTTTTTATTCTAATAATCGAAATAAAGAAAAGTATTGAAACATTTTAAAATCAAAATTTTTCGCCTACATGATCAATAGTAAAATGTAATTAGTATATTAAAAAGAAATTAGTATATTAAAAAGAAACAGAAAAAAGACAAAATAATTGTAATGTTACAAAACAGATTGATAAATAATACACTGTTCTTAATCAAACTTTAATGTATACAATGTATCATATGTATACTTTAATGTATAATGTATACAGCTCAACCACCGGGGATCCCGGAGATCTGCAAGAAATCTCTGACGTCCTGCCCATGCACAGGCGGGCTGGAGCTCTTTATCCTGGGCAAGAACTTTCTTAAGGACACTAGGGTGGTTTTTCAACTGGATAACGATGACCTGTCGAGTAGTCTGGAACCACACTGGGAATGTGCTGTGCTGCCAGACAAAGAATTTTTGCAGCAAACACACTTGGTGTGCGTAGTGCCGGCTTACCGCAGACAGGATCTAGCACCTACGGAGACAGTCAGCGTCAAACTATACGCGGTGTCCTCCGGAAAAACCAGTGAACCGCATAATTTCCTTTACACGGCTGCTTCCACCCCACCAGAACCGTCCATGGGCAAAGTCGAGTGCATCTCGCCTCCGCTCACGAACGGAGACACCAACCTGACTACTTCTTCCGCCGCAGTGCCGCTTGCTACGGGTGTAGCATCGAATAGTACGTTTAGTTTACAAGTTTAGTTTTTGTAAATTAATTATATATTGGTAGTATTAGGTTGGTACAACAGATTTGTCGAGTTCCTTAAATAAAATAAAAAATAAAATTATCCGATTTTGAAAAATTTCGAAGAACGTATTAAATGTCTTAGCTTATATTTTATTTCGAAATTAAATAAAGAATATATTTTTTCAGCTCTGATAACGCAAGCAGCTGCAGGATCGGCGAGTTTCCTAACGAGCCTTCAGACCCCACCGCAACAAACTACTTCGGAGACTCTGAAGAACGACCCCAGCCCACCGCCAGCAGCAGCGGCGTCCCAGGTGACACCTGTAATGATGTGGGCCACACAGTCCTCTAACTGCCATCCAAACTCACCACCAGAAGTCATGATGCCACCTCCGGCACTCGTGGCGAACCCTCTATTAAATCGACGATCCTCGACGAATCTACAGCTGATTCTGCCGGATAACTTGAAGACAGAGGTGTTAGACGAGAATAGCGAGAACAGCATGTTGAGTGAAAACAGCATGCAAAGCATACCAACACCTACGGCTGCCACAAATGGACCGACGTCGGTCGCCTCTCCTCTCCAACAGCTTGTCAACGAGAATTCCAGAGAAGCCGCGCCTTCCCAAGCTGATATTATCAGGACTGTTGCGGCAGCAGCCAACAACAGTCCCGTGCGAGAAGCAGTGAGTCTTCTTGGAGTGGTCGATTTGATACGCAATCAACATCCTTTGTCAATGGTGTCTGCACATCATCCAACTCCATTTGCAGGTAGGTACAGTAATTTTTTGGAAATAATAAATTTATTTTTAGATAATATCGATCGGTATTCAATAAAGCAAAAATTGATAGATTGAAGTTAATATATGATGTAATTTAATAATCAAAAAGTTATATTTTTTAATATAAATCAAATCTTAATTCAAATCAAGTTAAACAAAATAGGATTTAATCTATTGGATATTAAATGAAACTATATTTTAAGATAATAAGGATGACTAATTTTATATTAAGATTCCTGATCCCTCATCGTCATTTAGATTTATGATGTCAGAAGAGCGAAGAAATACATGCTCAAAATTTTTGCAAAGTACGCTAAAATAAAATGATACATAAAAAATGACACTTGCAATCGATTAAATATATTTCCAAAAAAGTTTGAACATTTTCCTTTTCCTCTAACAATCAATAAATAACCGTAAAATTAATACATTAATAATAAATTAATTTGACAAAATTATAAAGAAATTAGGTTAAAAGAGAAAGTTGCATGCAGGAGTTTTAAATATGCATTTATTTGCTTCTGACGTCAATCAAGAGTTACGTGACAAAGGATTAGGAGCTTTAAGATTTCAACTGCATCCATCTTATCATATTTCTTCGACTGAGCATTTTTCGATTGCTTATTTAATTATAGGAATACACGAGTCAGCTCAGGTTCAAGTTCTTAGTCCTCATCGTCTCAAAGAAACAAACGACGTCTTGCCAACAGAGAACAATTCCAACGCAACTGCTCTTTCGGGAGCTGGCGTGGTGGACCTTCGCATGAAGCATCATCACCATCAGCCGGACTTTGGTGCGTTGTCGAGTTTCACCAGCGCATCCGCAACGCAGTCGTTGTCTGCGCCGAATAGTCATGTAGTGGAGAAGTACCTGAATCACATGGAATCATCAGTGACCACAAGTGATGAGCCAGCTAGTCCAGAGAACGAGTTTGCCATCCAGCAGCAGCGAGCTTCCATCATCTCAGGAAGCAGCCAACAGTCGGCGGCTCCTCCGGGAATCCTGACTACTGCAGGTAAAGCGTTGTAATAGCGTTATTTTTTTTAAGTCTACATCTACTTTCTTTTCCTTGTTTCTCCCCTCGATTGGACAGTCACCTTGCTTAGCCTCAGAAACGTCAACTTTATAAGATCTGCGGGATTCTCCCTAATTTCTGAAATTAGTCTTCTATATGTGTTGTTTTTGTATAAAATATTATATTTCTATATCTTCGCTATCAACACATATATATTTTTATAATTAGAACAATAGAACGTTGGTTTCAATAAGAATTTTCGAAACTCTTAAACAGAGTTCCGCAGGTCTTATTAAAGTTCTGAGATCAAATGTTTCAACAATTAGTTATAAGCACGACAGATAAGCAGGAGAAAAAAAATAGTGATATGTATTTACCACCCTCAGGACAAGCTTCAGTGAAACTGGATGCCCTCGTGAACTCTACCGCAGAGCAGATGGTTTCGCCTTTACGCTCAGTGAATCCCAATCCTACAGCAATGTTGAGCCACGTAACGTCAGAACACGAAGCTATCGGTGGCGGTCAGCAGACTAGAACTAGTCCACCAATTCCGGTGAAGACGATGCTACTAGAGGCGCTGCAACCATTAGGAGCGGCCGCAGGTGCAACGTCGGTGCCTTCATCTGCGACAACGGTGGAGCCAACGGGAGAGAGTCTTCTAACCACCATTAATGCGGCGCTATTACCGTCGTTGCCTGAAGCGCAAGTCAATACAGCAACCGCTACGTCGAGTTCTACGGTAAATGTTGTTTATTTATCAATTTATCAATATTTATCAATGCAGACACTGGAAGAGGAAATTAGGATATTTGGACGATGAAGTGAGAATCATATAAATAAAATACTTTTCAGTCTGTTCCTTTCCAGGTTGCTGGCGACGCGATCCCGGCAGTCACGGCGGAGCATATGCAGCAGCAGATCCAGGCGCTCACGCAGCAAGAGGTGGTCGTGATGCAGCAGCAAGTACAGCAAGTAGAACAAGTAGTGGCACAGGCACAACAACAGGTCGAGCAAGTCGTGGCGCAAGCACAGCAACAGGCAGTACAAGCAGTACAACAAGCCCAGCAACAAGTGGTACAGCAAGTGGTGCAACACGCTCAAGTGGTGCAGCAAGCAGTACAACAAGTGCAGGCCGTGCAGCAGGTTCAAGCGGTGCCAGCTGTACAGCAAGCGGTGCAGCAAGCGACCCAAGAGGTGGTACAACAGGCAGTGCAGCAAGCGACACAAGAAGTAGTACAACAGGTCAGTAATTTTATGTTATAAATAATAAATTGCCAGGATTGATAAAAATTTTCTGAATTTCCAAGTTTTTCGTACATATTTCAAATTTATAAATTTTTTAATTTATAAATTTTTTTAATTTTTTAAATTTATATCAACTATATACTAAAAATAAAAAGTTTATAAGATCTAAGTGTAACTATCAACTTTGATTTCGATAAGACTTCAAGTTCCAAATGCTTAAATTTCTACAAGACACTCAATATATATATATATATATCTACATTTCTGTGGATATATACGAATCCCAATAATTAAAAAATCTAAACTATTACTACTTTTTATTACTCATTTATTATTAAAATTAATTATTAGATTATTAAATTATTATTAGAATTTAAAATTTTTAACAACTAACATCTAACTGTTCCAGGTTCAAGCAGTGCAGCAAGCTGTGCAACAAGCACAGGCAGCTCAAGCCATGCAACAGGCGGTTCAACAAGATATCGGTTCCATGCTGAACCAGCCAGCAGGCTTTGTAGCTGAAGCAAGTTCTGCATTAGCCAGCGGTGCTGCTCAAGAGCCTTCTCAGCAACGTCTGACCAACGCGGCGGAGCAAGCTATCAATAACGTTATTACCAACGCCACGCAGGATATCATTAATAATCGGCCGATCAGTACTACCACCGCTCATGCGATCATTGCCACGAAGAAAATCCTCAACAGCGTGGCAACTCAGAGCGCGCAGCTGATGAACAGCGCAATGGAGGGTATCCTGCCGAAATCGCCCTCGGCGCAGAGCAATATCGTCGAGCAAGTCGCCAACAAATCGCCGCCAGTCACGCTCCCGGTCACTCCGAATCGTCAGGCTGTGAACGCTCCGATTCCCAATCCTGCCGCGAGTAGCGCGGCCAGTAGAAAGCCGGAAGACGGGATGCTGCCCCAAGAACTTACCTCCATGTCGGACCACGATCTTCTAAGTTACATCAATCCCAGCTGTTTCGATCCGCAAGGCGGATTCCTCATGTAGTACTGCCATGTTCCTCGTGAGAGGCGGAGGGATGATTTTTTTTCTGTGAATTTCTTCCCGAACGACGCGAAAGCCTAAGGTTCCGTCTTCGCATCTTGAATTTAGAAATGACGATTCTGAATTTGGAAAACAAATGGAGGAGCAACGTTGTGGCGTTACGTAAAGCTGCATTATGTTTGGAATCATATGGCCACGTTTGATTAAGATACGAAGACTAAAGGACATTTGAACAGTTGGAACGTCTTTTGAGTGAATAACGTTTTCCTTTTTGGGGGGGGATTTTTGCAATGTATAGATTTCGTACTGTTCAGAGTTAATCTCGACCATTCGGCTTTCAAGATTATCACCAATTCGATATTGACGATTCTGTGCCACATTTGTAACATGATGCGAAGTCACTTTTATAGAAAGAGAGGCGGAAGTACCATGTTAACTTTGGACTTGGTTAAATGCACGTATTGCCAAAAACATATATAATATAGATTATATATGTATGAACATGTATATGAATATGTTCATATATGTTGATATGTGTTCATATATTTCATATATATATATATATATATATATATATATATATATATATGTATATATATGTATATATAAAATATATTAACATGTATGTATATACATATATGTATGTAAATGAATTTTTAGATTTATTTATACTTATAAAATCTATAAATTTTTTTTATTTAAAAATGTTTTTTTAAGCCTTTAGATTATGTCGAAAAATCTTTTAATAGTTTTAGATTTCGTAATTGTGAGTGAGACGATTCGGCTTTCATTTTATCAGATTTCAGTATCCTTAAATTGTTGGAATATTTTTTAATAATTTCCGGAATATTTGCTTTAATAGATCTTTGCATTTTTTGATCTCCCCTGAATTCTATTTTATTCATGTCCGATAATTCGGGAACCATTAGCAAGCTCTGAGTGGATTCAGTGTGTAATAAATATACTTTCCAATAATCCGAAGTTTTCGGAGGTACTTCCGAATCGCTCTGCGGTCTACGGAGAAAAAAATGAGTCCGCAGCAGCAGCTCGTTAAGGATCGAAAACTATTAACGTTTAAGTATAAGACGGGCGCATGAGAGAGCGCGACAATTCAGATGTTTTTCTCTTTCACCTCTTCTTTCTTGTACTTGTTCTTCCTTTTCTACGGATTGTCGATTCTCCTGACAATCTATTATTTATCTTCAGCGATGTTTCTTCGCAAGTAGGTGCCTTTCCGCGTCGCAGTTACTATCTTGAATCCTCTTTATTTGCAGGATTTACAGGAAAATTTGCGAGTGATATCATACAAATGTGATTAGCCCTTTATCTAGTTATACAAGTAATTAATTAATCCTCAAACGTCAAGTTTTTAAAACAAATATCGAACATTGAATTAAAACATGGTAAATGCTTTTTTCTTTATATTCTTTTTCTTTACATTTTCTTCTAAAAATAAAAACTTTAAGTAAAGAAATCTTCGAGAAAAGGTTCGTTGAAGATTGAAAACTTTTTTGGAAAGCTGAGATCAATCCTCGATTCGGTCCGTCTCCGTTGCAGTTGTAGATTCACGTTCTAGGATTAATTAATTAATAATTTAATATCAGTAAAGGGTTTTAAGCGGCAAGTATGAAGGCAGTGAAGAAGAATCCTGCCGAGTTTCCTGTTTCGTTCCACGAATTTTGGAAACTGTTATAAAATTCTTGCTTTTGCAGAATAACGGAAAGAAACTGATGGAATGGAAAGGGAGTGTGTGTGTAACTATATGAATTATTGAGTACGCTATAGTAATCCTTATTGACTTGATTTCATTATGAAAAAATGGATCATCTCGTTGCTGTGGTCTCCACGTGTCTCAAGTATGCATATAATATATTTCGTATACATATATATATATATATATATATATATATATATATATATATATATATATATATATATATATATATATATATATATATATATATATATA